AATCATAGATTCTAGTTATGTGATATATTTTCCTAATTTTCCTAGAAAAACAAATGAATATATATATATATATATATACGTACTCGCCTTTAGCTCTGCTGAACTCCTTGAGAAGGCGATGGAGAGAGACATACGGTTTCTACATATACATATATATATTTATATACATATATGTATATATTAATCATATTTACACATATACATAGTCTCATGTAAACTATAATGCCATTGATCAATCACCGAAAGCACCCAGGTCACTCAGCTCCCACAGCGACACTCTGCAGCTGCCATTTGCTGCTCGTCATGGCCTATTGGCAGGTGGAATGGCATGTGTTTTTTTAATGTTTTTGCTTGGAATTTGTCAGTGTGAAAACAGCTGGGTTGTCTATACAGTATACAATAGTATACATATATATATATACACACATATGTACATATACATAATGTATGTTTGCGGATCATTCTCCGGCCTGGAAAATGAAAGAAAAACCATGCCTCGATGTCTGTGAAAGAGGCATGAACAGATCTCCAGACACCAACCATGAGCCCTGGGAAAACCAGCTTTGTTTCTGATGGTTTCTTGGGCTTCACCTTTTGGTACGGACGGTGCCGCTAAATTGGGTAAGCCATGCTGAAACTTGGATAGTTGCTAAGTCGATGTGAGTTTCCTCTTTTTTTACTACAAATGGATACAAATTGGGGTGATTACTGTATGTACCAATATGTAACAATCAGCAAAAACATGCAAAAACTTGTTTCTGGTTGGTGGTTTGGAACATTTTTCATTTTTCCATATGCTGGGAAGAATAATCCCAACTGACGAACTCATATTTTTCAGAGGGGTTGAAACCACCGACCAGGTTTGTTCGCCGGGTAGACTTGGGATTTGTTTCACCCGGGTCCAAGGTATTGATGGGACGTCAGCTGGTTGCTCAGCTGGGATCATCTATACGGGGCCGCAACCGGGAGATCCCCCATGACCGATCCTGCACTATCCACATGCGCGTTTTTTAATAGCTGTATATATACTCATTCACAAACACACACACACATATATATATATACAGATGGATCTACATATATGGCTCTTTTTGATCTTCAAGCCAAAGATCCGATCCGATCTACTGGAAGGTGATTTGTATTGGTGCCTTTTGTTTGCCATGCAGAAATTGACTTTGAAGCCATGCAGCTCAGCTCCTGCCGTGGCAGGCCACTGTGATGCTGTGTGACTGCCCCAGTGATGCAACTCAGCAGGGATGATGCCACCGGGATTTGGGATGCATCGAGGCCATCGATCCAATGGTGACGTTCTTGCAGGTCGGAAGACCCTGCCCTGGAAAACCGAGACCGAAAAGAGAAGCACCGGAGGAATCTGCAGTTAGACCTGGAACATTGCTGAAACTGGAGAAAGTCTAGGTTCCATAGAAAGTTCCTTATACGTTCCACCAACCACCAAGCAACAATTCTGCTGCGGTCGTGCCAGGTCCCTTGATGTACAATTTCTCCTGCCAAGCCGATGCAGTTCAACGCTGCCGGGTCCGTGTCCAAAAAAGGTGGTCTCTCAGGTGACGGTCGTGGATGGCTCGTTTATTGCTTGCTTTTTTCACATATTTCACCAGTGGATTTTACTGGGATTTTACTGGATATTCAATCACAATCACTGGCAAAAAAATGCAAAAAAACAAATGGAAGGGTATCTATCATTGGCACTTAGTTTACGACTCGCCTTTAGCTCAGCTGAATTATGCTGAACTCCTTGAGATGGCGATGGAGAGAGAGACCTACCATTGGTTGCAGTACCATTTGGCTTGCAAGTAGGTAGCTAAACGCTTGCTGGAGAGAGAGAGAGAGAGAGAAAGAGAGAGGGCAACTTAATGCAACTTATGGTTTATCATCACTTTCCCTTTTCAAATGGTCATCAAATGAGCCTCCCCAAATTCAGGACAAACCCAAATGATATGATGACCATGCCATGGTTTGCTCAGTACCATTTTCCAGTAATTAAATAGTACAATCGATCTATCTACCTATTTATCTTCCTTATTGTATCTATCTTATCTATATATATATATATCTATATAATCTTATCTATATTATCAATATTACCGTATTTTCATCATATATCTTAGTTATCTTATCTACCTTAGTTATATTATCCATCTTGGATTCTTATCAATATTTTATTATCTAGCTTGTCTATCTATTTATCTATCTATTTGTTTGTCCGTCTGTCTATCTATCTGTCTATTTTTTCTATCTGTCTCTATATATATGTATATACACATCTATCCGTCTATCTGTCTGACTGTCTATTTGTGTATCTGTCTGTGTATCTGTCTATCTATCCATCTATTCTTCTTTCCATCTTTCCATTTATACAGAAAACAGCACTCTTTGATTGTTAGATCCTCATGCAGGATCCATCCCAAATCTTCATGTTTGATAGCTGGATAGCTAGTAACATTACCATGTTCAATCCCTTAATTTGGTGGTTGAACTTCCGTGAATTTTTTGGGTCATCACATGTCATGACCCCTTGGTCATCGCTACCGCCTCAGTGAGGCCATGCTCCCCAGCGCAGAACACACTGCCTCGGCACCAACCTCGACTTTGTGTAAGGTGGGATGCGAGGGCAACAAGGGAAGGTCGACCCATGTCGACCCGCAAAAATGAGGAGTTGATGAACCCAAAAAACAGTTTCAACTAAGAGAGAGATAGGGAGTTAGAACTAGTTACTAACTAGTTGATGGCAAAAGTTGGCTACAACTGGTTGGAACTATTTTCGATTGGTTCTGGGCAGTACAGACTGTAGAATGTACCATGATTTATCTAAGGTGAATCAACCACGAAACATGACAGTATTATGATAGTAAATAAATTGCCTTTGTTTGTGCGAATTTATGGTTATGACTCCGAGGTACATGTTCTTTTCAGCCAGTTCTGAGAAACATCTTGCAATTTCAGCAGCGTATTGCATTGCTGTGTAAACTCATTGATCATGGTTGGATGCGTTTATGTACATGATTTGCACAGTCAATTGTAAACGGCCTGATTAGGGGCCCAGGACGGCACTCAACACGGCAATGGGCGTCATGACTTCTTCATCTCCTGCAATGGGTGATCCTCGCCGCAGGCATGGGAGTTTATGCTGCACAGCACAGTCTCTATGGAGGACAGCAGGCGCAGCTGCCGCAGCAGGATGGATCAGATGAAAGGATGGTCAAAGAAGCAATCATATTGTGATTATTTTATTTTATGTTTATGGTGTTCCATGTGGCGTGCAGGATGCCAGGTGTGAGAGGTAGGTTGGAGTAAGCCAAAAGAATTTGTCAGACATTTATCTTTGAGAAATGGGGATCAAAACCAGAGACATGATATTTTTTGAGATGAACGTCCACCGGTTGCAGCTGCTATGTGGGGTGAAGACCCAGGCTTGTTCACCAAGCTGACTGGTAGGAGAGCCCAGGCTCCCATCGACATCATGCAATCCACTAAAGAAATACGTCAATTGGACAGAAAAAAGCGCATGTTAAGATTCCAGTGAACTAACAGGTTGCTTTGGAAAATGGAAAATTGACCATTTATCATTTATATGTTACTAAAAATTATTAAGATATTTTTCAAGTAGTGGGTAACATATAATATTCCATGAATATCCAATGGATATCCAATGAATATTCCACGTTTTTTCGTTTTTTTTTCCCCCCAGGGCCTTTGGCGATTCGAAGGGCGAAATCGGTCGCGGAGCCGAGGCTTGTGGCGCAACTCCTGGATGACCATGTTGCACCAGGCGGACACAGTTTCTGAAACCTTGGAGGGCTGCTCTATAGACTATATATATATATATATATATACTATACATATATATATATATATAAATAGTAACTATAATGTAGATATATACAGATATATATTGTATTTCAAGGTATGTATATACATATATAATATATATTATAATAGTGTCTCTATATTTTCTGTATATATTCTATATATGTATCATTTACTTTGGCCCATTTTCCATAGCTATGTGAAATTTCCAGAAGGTGTATATCCCCACTTTAATCTTTAAGAAAGTTTTTTCTATTAAAAAGTTTTTTTTTTGCAATGACTGGGTACAGTATGGGACGATCATGGCTTTAAAACATGGATGGTACTGGTGTAGGGGTTTCCAAATTTTGAGACGGCCCCGAACATTTGTGGCTTGAACATGGGGTAGCAATTCTCAATCAAGTTTGATGATTTTCCTATTTAGCCATCCAATTTTATCATGCGAGAACTCGGGATGTTGTCCTCCACAAACGTCTGATTTGCGGTGTTCCACTGGTTGATTAGTTGCCGGGGGGTGGCCCCATTGATTTAGCAACCAAGGTGTTACAAAACGGACCTCTATTTGTTCCAAACAGGATCGTAGTGGAAAGGCATCACTTTGGGGTTTAGATTCTGATGTAATTCTTTACAAAGCTCACAGACGAATCAAAACATTGCATGTTTTACATGTCTATATAGCAAATATGAACACAGCATAAGCACTTGTTTTGGCCATAGGATCCCAGCAAGTATAGAAAGAGACGAGGTCGCGATTGTTTGATCCCGAGGCTTCAGAGTTTTGATTTCTGCAGACCCGTACTCATCCGTATGGCTCTTTACTTGCAGACAACAGACATAGGCCCAACATGGAATGGAAAAGCATGGGAAAGCAGGCGCAGTTGTGCCAACAAATCAAGTTGGCCTGGGAAGAGATTGAGGATGGTTTTGGTTGGTACTCCGGACGCTCTTGAAAGGATACAATTACAGAACATCACGAAGCCATCATTTTGGATGGTTTATCATGGTTTTCCCGTATTTTCTGGTTAATCGCCCATAATTAGCTCCCTGTTCAAATGGCCCTCAAATGGGCTACCCCCCATGTTCACCCAAGATGGTAGCAGTTAGCATCATGTCAAGGATCATGTTTACAACTCATGACATGATCAAGTGCCCATTTGCCACCTGGAAATGTCATGGGCTGCGCTCTGGGCAGCGCCGCGGACCATGCGGTGGCAAAAGCCACGCAGCGGGTGGAGAAGGATCAAGTCATTGAGAAGGTGACCTGGGGTAAACCTGGGGTAAACCTGGGGTAAACTAAGGAACTGAAGACTGAAAACCCATGGAAAGCCCCCAGGAAAATGATCCATGGTGACCCTCTGTAGATCAGGTGAAGGGGACACGACTGGATTTGTTGATTGGAAGACCCAGAAAGAAAATACGTCTAGTGTAGTCAACTGCATCTTGACTTCTACCCAAAAATACTCAAATATAATCAATATTATCAATTGGTTCCCTATGTATCAAGATGATCAATCTGTAATTGAAATGTATACATATATATATATATATATATGATAGATCTGATTATATGATTATATGTATGATATATTTATATACCCTCAACTACATAGGGTCTGAAATCGGCATACCTTGAGGTATGCCGAGCCAAGGGTCTGAGATGCTACATGATGCATTGTAGACCTTGGACCAGCTAGCATTATAGACCCCTGTAGTTGTAGTATAATAACCATATATATGGGATATTTTTAGACAAATTTTAAATCTATATAAATATATGTAAATCTATGTAAACCTTCATATCCTTGAATGATATTTTTTAGCTGCCTTCAAAACTCGACTTGTGGCAGCATGTTGAAACAGAAATCAAACTGAGCATTATTTTTGGGGGTCGTTTTTTTTTGGTGTACATTTTTTCATGTTCGTTTCAGGGGAAGGGGCAGGGCTGTGACAAAAAATATCAAGAAGAGAGGATGCGAGATGAAAAAAATATTGAATTTTCATGGCAGCTGTTTGCTGAGCCAGGTAAAATGCAATTGCATGCAATTGCCAATTCCAGTCCATTTTGGCTCAAATCTCGTTCAACCAACCGGACAAAAGCAGCCAAAGCAGCTACTAGGATGGCTGACAGCTTTCCTGGAGCTGCGCCTGATTGCGAAACTTATTCGCAATCAACAAGTTGAGATGAGTTGGGAATTAAAACAAAAAACATGAAACAAATTCTGAATCGCTGTTTTTTTATTATTTTTTTAGCATTCAACAAATTCAACACGTTGAGAAACAAAAAAATGTGAGCTCAGGAAAAGTGCGGCTCGAAATGCTCAGCGCCCACTTGGGATGCAAATCTTGGCTTGTGGAGGTCCAGATGTGAGAACATTAGTCTAACCGCAGCCGGGAAACCCCGGAAATCCGCTCATGAGAGTTTCAAGCCCCTTGGTTATATTTCTCGTGTTTCAAACATTTTTCGTGTGCATTCGTGTGCCCTATCTTGGATTTATATGGACTTATGTGGACTTATTCCATATATTTTTTGGCCCTACTAAGTCCTGGAGCGCCAGCAAAGTGGACATGCCTTGCAGTCATTCCGCCTGTGAAAGTGGGTCCTCCCTGTTTTGGGGTTTGACAGGGTATGCATGCACATGATCATATGATAATTTTCAATGAGAGAGGGAGAACTCAACTTCAGACCCCTCATGTGCTACTAATCCCTGGGCCAGAGTTTTTTTCAGAGAACCATGGCTAGACAGGTCTAGAAAGGTTTCCATGGAGGCAAGCAGAACCATCACTTGCCTCCAGGGCATGCATTCCAATTCAGACCTTTGAGCGATGGCCAGGAACGACCTGGATGGGCAAAATCTTTGCAGAAGTTCCGGGAAAAGCTTATGAAGAAGGCATTTAGATTGGAATTGTTTCTATGCTGTTCTTTTTGAAATTGTTTGGAATTATTTAGATTATCCAGTCTTATTCAATGCCTAGGGTCTCAAAAGGTTTCTGGCCTTTCTTAACAAACCAATCAGCGTGGACAGCTTTTGCTATTCAAATTAGACCTTCAAGGATCAAGCTGCCCTGCTGGCCAGGCTGTTGAGGATCCAACTGGAGGCAATTTTCTTGCTGTGGGATGTGGTTGCAGAGGGACTAGAAAAGGGATGATTTTTAGAGAGCTCATGCGATTTCATTATTGTTGGCAATTTACCTGTTTCAACCGTAGTCTTTGGCCAGGGGAAAATGCGGTGGTGCCAGCTGGTCAGCCTCAAGGCCAGAACAAGCAACTCTGACATTGGACTCTGAAAATGAATAAACATGGACTCTGTGACATTAGACTCTGAAAACAGGAAGTGAAGCCAGCAGTGCTGGGCTCAGGCCATTTGAATGATTTCAGCTTTTCCCTGAAGAAAGCAATGTCAGCCTTCAGTCAGTTGCCAGAGAGTTATTCCATGGACAGCAGCCATTGGCTGCAAACCTTCATAATGCTGCAATGGCCGGGAGCTGCATGCTGAGGAGCTTCTGGTGGGATTTGGTGGGAACATGCTGGGATGATCTGGGACATGATACCACTGACATGTCCGAAGCATTTCAAAGCTAACTAATGGGAAAATGTTGCTGCCTGGCAGCATCTTGGCTTTCAGAGAAGCTGATGACTCCACATTCACAGCAATGGCAAGTGGTGGTGATTCTGCTTCGCGGGATGTGTGGCTAGACCCTTCTGGGTTGCCTGTTCCAGCTCCAGCGCCATATGGATGGGCTAGGATGTTGGCCCAACAACAGAGTGGTGGCATCGTCGAGACCAGAACAGTTCGGACTGATGCAGTTAAACCAAAGTCTGATCTGAAGGCACTTTTGTATACTTTTGTAGTTTTTTCAATCATATGACATACATAGACATTGTATATCATTGTATTATATTGTATCGCATTGTCTCTTCAATTCTTTTTATATTCAGCCAGACTCTGGCAGGCAAAGCAACCCTTCCATACTTTGCTGGCTTACCACTCAGACGGCACTCGTGCTACCTTGTCACAGCACCCCCTTCCTAATCCGAAGAAGCTTGAATTATTCATGGATCTCAGCTCTGCAGAGACAGCCTACCTAGACAGCCTAGACACCAAGATGGTTGGAAGCAGAGGATGTGATCATAAAGCCATGTGGCTTCCGTTCCCTGTTTGTATTTTGTTTTGTTTTTTTTTTGCGCTTCCCCCAAGTGTCAAACACCGGATTCTTTTGTCGCAGCCCCATGTTCCCAAAGGTTCCTGCGCAAGTTCATGAAATCCCGTGGTTGGACATTGACGCGCTGGTGTCAGACCAGAATGGAACTCGGCGCTTGAATGGAACCTAACTTAGGACCTAGGATGCACCAGACATCACCAGACTCTCGTGCAGATCAAGGGAGCAGAAAAAACATGCTGAGATTTGATCAATGATTTTTATGTATGCTGAGATTAGACAAAAATGTTCAGAATCTTCTTTGCTCCAGGAGGTTCCTTTGTGCAGCACCCCACTTTGCCAGGATCAGGCGTGGTATATGCTGCTCAAGTAGCTAAGGACATCTAAGGACTAGATAGTATTTGATCTGGTTGTATTGTGTTTCTTGTCCTTTGAGCCTCAATGGATTTAATTCTAGACCTTATGGACAAGAAGCAGGATTCAAATGCAAATTGATGCAAGTAGAATCAAATAGACATTCATTGACATTCAGAACATTCAAACCTATCATGGGCAGCAATAAAACATTCAGGCCAGCTAGTTCGAGTGTTCAGTTTGTTTCCATGTGTTTCCATCATAGGGCCATCCCATAGGGTTTCCATTCCTATTCCTCAAGATGTGCATCTTTAAATTGACTTCATCATCCCAGGAATTCAATGTTGGACCCCCAAACATGCCCAACACGTGCTGACACAACACCGCAGCTTGCAGGCAGGTGCTGGGAGAACTTTGGTTGAATCGACTGCAGACAATGCAGGTGCAACCCTTGGGATCATGTTTGGACACATTTCTTTCAAATGCATTCTTTCCATTTTTTCCATTTCTTTCCATGTGTTTCCATCATAGGGCCATCCCATAGGGTCTCCATTCCTGTTCCTCAAGATGTGAATCTTTAGACTGACTTAATCATCCCAGGAATTCAATGTTGGACCCCCAACATGCCCAACATGTGCTGACACAACACCGCAGCTTGCATGCAGGTGCTGGGAGCGCTTTGGTTGAATCGACTGCAGACCATGCAGGTGCAACCCTTGGGATCATGTTTGGGCACATTTCTTTCAAATGCATTTTTTCCATTCTTTCCATTTCTTTCCATGTGTTTCCATCATAGGGCCATCCCATAGGGTCTCCATTCCTATTCCTCAAGATGTGAATCTTTAAATTGACTTAATCACCCCAGGAATTCAATGTTGGACCCCCAAACATGCCCAACACGTGCTGACACAACACCGCAGCTTGCATGCAGGTGCTGGGAGCGCTTTGGTTGAATCGACTGCAGACAATGCAGGTGCAACCCTTGGGATCATGTTTGGGCACATTTCTTTCAAATGCATTCTTTCCATTCTTTCCATTTCTTTCCATGTGTTTCCATCATAGGGCCATCCCATAGGGTCTCCATTCCTATTCCTCAAGATGTGAATCTTTAAATTGACTTAATCATCCCAGGAATTCAATGTTGGACCCCCAAACATGCCCAACACGTGCTGACACAACACCGCAGCTTGCAGGCAGGTGCTGGGAGCACTTTGGTTGAATCGACTGCAGACAATGCAGGTGCAACCCTTGGGATCATGTTTGGACACATTTCTTTCAAATGCATTCTTTCCATTCTTTCCATTTCTTTCCATGTGTTTCCATCATAGGGCCATCCCATAGGGTCTCCATTCCTGTTCCTCAAGATGTGAATCTTTAGATTGACTTAATCATCCCAGGAATTCAATGTTGGACCCCCAAACATGCCCAACATGTGCTGACACAACACCGCAGCTTGCATGCAGGTGCTGGGAGCGCTTTGGTTGAATCGACTGCAGACAATGCAGGTGCAACCCTTGGGATCATGTTTGGGCATGAAAGATATTTGGTTTTCTGGATTGACTACTGCAATCTATTTCAACGCCCAGGTGACCAAGAAATGGGCATGCTTAAGGGATCTTAAGGGTCTAGTTGCTTTTCAATCATGCATCAAGGTGTGAAAAGGCTCGACCTAAGGTCGCATATGAATTCTAGACCCTGTGAAACTCTCCAGCTTGCCCAGGTGGACCTGCTACTCCAACAAAACATGCCGGGTCTGCAGGACAAGAAGGTGCAACACCCCAGCCAAAGTGAATGTCATTTCATCATGTTCCCAAACAGTTTCTGAATGTTTCTGAAACAGATGTTGATGAAATTTTCATGGAATGGAGCTTTGCTGGGCTGTTGTCCATGTCAAAGGGTCTGAATTGCAGTTTCTTTGGAAATAAAGGTCCCAAGGTTGGTTGAACCTAGATTCTTTTCGTTTTGGACCCCCTGCCAGCTGGAGATATTTGTCTGTCCATCTACAACTAGTTTCCCTTTTAATTTTCAATTCTCTCCTGGAACCATTGGCCATCATTGGCCTTTCAAGCCATAAAGAAGCCAATGCCCGACAGGATCTTTGGGTTCAAAGCCTTCAGACAACATGGGAGGCCAGAACTTGGCCTGGAGTGGCAGTGGATGTACTGGAACATTTCATTATGCTTAACTTTTCCAAACTTTCCTGGAAGAAATGGGCATGCTTAAGGGATCTTAAGGGTCTAGTTGCTTTTCAATCATGCATCAAGGTGTGAAAAGGCTTGACCTAAGGTCGTATATGAATTCTAGACCCTGTGAAACTCTCCAGCTTGCCCAGGTGGACCTGCTACTCCAACAAAACATGCCGGGTCGTCCTGCAGGCGCAACACACAATCCGAAGTGAATGATAATTCTGAAACAAGATGAACATTAATTTCTTAAAGATCATGCAGGTGGCCCTGGGGTCTATATTGCAGTTTCAAGGCAGATAAAGATCAAAAGGCCTGTTTCATCGATGTTCTTTTGGTTTAGATTGCACTGCAGCCATTCAGGGACAATTCAATACATTTCTTGGTTTAACTTCTTTGCCATGCCGTTGAAGCAGAAGAGAAAGGCTGCAGGTAAGTCCAAGAAGATCAAGAAGGTGGATGACGACACCGCCTGTGCCGGCCCTGAGAGCAGCTGGTTTGATGCTGCTGCCAACGCAGAGCAGTTACGCCAGTACTGCAACAGCTGGACTGGCCAACGATTTTTGGAGATCTTGGATGTGTTCAGCTTCAATGAAGGCATGAGGCACGTGGCAGGAACAAAGGTGGTTTGTTCTCTCGACATCCGCCTGTCACCCAAGCACGACCTGACAAGTGCTCGAGGTGTACTCCTTCTTTTGGCCATGCTCATGTCGTTGGTTCATGGGGGGCTAGTAACACTAGCCCCACCATGTTCCCTCTTTGTGTGGCTGAGCTGCAGTGTCCATCTCAGGCACAAGATGGGCCCTTATGGGCAGACCAAGAACTATAAAGTCAGGCTGGCAAATAGAATTGTCCAGAATTGCGAGCCTCGCTGATGATTCTGGCATATTTTGCCAACATTTTTTGACTGTTGATCCATTGTTTTTCCCTTGTTAGAAACAAGAATGTATGTTGGATAATATGTTTATATTTTTCTGTTATTGGGAACATTTTGCAATGGTGCCCATGGATTGTGTACAGGAATGTGCAGGATTTTTTCACTTTAGCCACCGGTGGCCAGGTGGCCGTGCTGAAGTGTGCAATGGCCTTCCGGGAGTTCAAGCTGATGATAGAGCAGCCGAAGAACTCAGCCATGTACAGTCTCCCGGAGCTCAAGGAGCTTGTTGAGTTGAGACTCATGCAGCGCTACCTGACGTATATGGGATACTGGGTGGCTTGGAAGAAAGAAGGGTCGAGATTGTGTTTTTGTTCAATCTGTTTTGCAGTTCTTCAAGATAATTCATGATAAACTAAGAGCATCATATATAAGTTTACTTAGATCATCAAAATGTATCAATATGTCACAATATGATACAATATGTCTATAAAATTATCATTATTACTCTCTCTCTATTTTTCATATTTTTCATCTTTTTTTCTCTATAGACTATGTATATCTATGTATATCTATATATAGATGTTTGGTGCACAAAGACATCCCAGGGTGGTCCGCTGATGAAGCCAACTTGGATCCTGACAGATTTGCAGCACGGCAATAAGCTCAGTGTGAAGATGACTAAAGAGCTGAAAGAGGAAATCACGCCCAGATTGATGAATAGGTCGTCCTTTTATCGGATTCAGAGGAGTGCCACAGACCCGAAAAAGATTTCTGTGTCTGGCACCAAAAACCTTGGCTTGACGGCCAAATGGCCTGAAGCATTCTGCAAAGCTATTCTGAAGTCCTGGCAAGACGAGATCTAAATATCCGTCTGCTGTGGCATTAGTTTCCATGTAAGCTGAGTAGGCAACATGTTCTGACCAGCTGTGCGGGATGAGAGAAAGTGTGGGGGCAAGGGCGCTCATGTCTACCAGGTCTAACTTGAAGAATCCTGATGGCAAACGTTTTTGGAGACATTGTTGGCAGGACAAAACCACTATAGACCTTTAAGCGCCCTCTATCACACCTTGGCGCCAGGAGTATCTGAGCGCTCTTCACTAGTGAGTGGCAAAGAGAAGAAAAAGGGTGCTATTACTTGTGATATCTTGTGATAAGTTGTGTGGGTCCGGGGTGCTGTTGAGTGCCTTTGGTTTAGCACTGCCATACATTGCCTAAAGCATGTCTAATGTTCTTTGAAAAGCAGCTGATGAGGTGTGCCAAAAAGTTCAACTGAATCGACAACAAGTCCAGAAGGACAGGGTCTGAGCTTGTTCATGCAGCTAACAGTATTTGATTTGGTTGTATTGTGTTTCTTGTCCTTTGAGCCTCAATGGATTTAATTCTAGACCTTATGGACAAGAAGCAGGATTCAAATGCAAATTGATGCAAGTAGAATCAAATAGACATTCATTGACATTCATTGACTCTCAGAACATTCAAACCTTTCACAGGCAGTGATAAAACATTCGATTTGTTTGGTCTCAATTGTGAGCTCTTGAAAGACTGGGGTTTTGGAGCCATTGAGTTTGGATTCTCTTGTTGTGGCCAGGACCACCACTGGTGGATGACAAGCAGTCGCAAGAGCAGAAGGAACAGAAAGGCCAGCTAGTTCAAGCGTTCAGTTTGTTTCCATCATAGGGCCATCCCATAGGGTCTCCATTCCTATTCCTCAAGATGTGCATCTTTAAATTGACTTAATCATCCCAGGAATTCAATGTTGGACCCCCAAACATGCCCAACACGTGCTGACACAACACCGCAGCTTGCATGCAGGTGCTGGGAGCACTTTGGTTGAATCGACTGCAGACCATGCAGGTGCAACCCTTGGGATCATGTTTGGGCACATTTCTTTCAAATGCATTCTTTCCATTTCTTTCCATGTGTTTCCATCATAGGGCCATCCCATAGGGTCTCCATTCCTGTTCCTCAAGATGTGAATATTTAAATTGACTTAATCATCCCAGGAATTCAATGTTGGACCCCCCAACATGCCCAACATGTGCTGACACAACACCGCAGCTTGCATGCAGGTGCTTTGAGCACTTTGGTTGAATTGACTGCAAACAATGCAGGTGCAACCCTTGGGATCATGTTGGGGCATGGAAGAGCTCCTTTTGTGCTGAAATTTCATAGAAGAGCAAGGGGAATGCTCTGTATGGAGCACCCCCCCATCGCTTGTAGACTTGCCTCTGCAGGTGAAACTGGTGGTATGGTGGAATCAAACGCAGAACCTGACGGAGGTGCAGGTGCATCATGCATTTTCTGGCCAATAGTCAAGTTATGAACTTGGAGCGGCCTTGGAATGGAAAGTTCTTCTAGGACCGCCCTTGGTGGATGAAAAGCAGTCGCAAGTGCAGAAGGAAGAGCAAGGCCAGTGCCAGGTGATTTTAGTTGCTTTGTTCTTTTTGAATCTTTGAGGGCCATCCTTGCAAAGTTTTCAGAACGATTCACATTTCTTTCAAAAGCATTCTTTCCATGTGTTTCCATCATAGGGCCATCCCATAGGGGTCTCCATTCCTGTTCCTCAAGATGTGCATATTTAAATTGACTTAATCATCCCAGGAATTCAATGTTGGACCCCCAACATACCCAACATGTGCTGACACAACACCGCAGCTTGCATGCAGGTGCTGGGAGCGCTTTGGTTGAATCGACTGCAGACAATGCAGGTGCAACCCTTGGGATCAGTTGGGGCATGAAAGATATTTGGTTTTCTGGATTGACTACTGCAATCTATTTCAACGCCCAGGTGACCAAGGGTCTAGTTACTTTTCAATCATGCATCAAGGTGTGAAAAGGCTTGACCTAAGGTCATATATGAATTCTAAACCCTGTGAAACTCTCCAGCTTGCCCAGGTGGACCTGCTACTCCAACAAAACATGCCGGGTCTGCAGGACAAGAAGGTGCAACACCCCAGCCAAAGTGAATGTCATTTCATCATGTTCTCAAACAGTTTCTGAATGTTTCTGAAACAGATGTTGATGAAATTTTCATGGAATGGAGCTTTGCTGGGCTGTTGTCCATGTCAAAGGGTCTGAATTGCAGTTTCTTTGGAAATAAAGGTCCCAAGGTTGGTTGAACCTAGATTCTTTTCGTTTTGGACCCCCTGCCAGCTGGAGATATTTGTCTGTCCATCTACAACTAGTTTCCCTTTTAATTTTCAATTCTCTCCTGGAACCATTGGCCATCATTGGCCTTTCAAGCCATAAAGAAGCCAATGCCCGACAGGATCTTTGGGTTCAAAGCCTTCAGACAACATGGGAGGCCAGAACTTGGCCTGGAGTGGCAGTGGATGTACTGGAACATTTCATTATGCTTAACTTTTCCAAACTTTCCTGGAAGAAATGGGCATGCTTAAGGGATCTTAAGGGTCTAGTTGCTTTTCAATCATGCATCAAGGTGTGAAAAGGCTTGACCTAAGGTCGTATATGAATTCTAGACCCTGTGAAACTCTCCAGCTTGCCCAGGTGGACCTGCTACTCCAACAAAACATGCCGGGTCTGCAGGACAAGAAGGTGCAACATCCCAGTCAAAGTGAATGTCATTTCATCATGTTCCCAAGCAGTTGCTGAATGTTTCTGAAACAGATGTTGATGAAATTTTCATGGAACGGAGCTTTGCTGGGCTGTTGTCCATGTCAAAGGGTCTGAATTGCAGTTTCTTTGGAAATAAAGGTCCCAAGGTTGGTTGAACCTAGATTCTTTTTGTTTTGGACCCCCTGCCAGCTGGTTTCCCAGTGCAGGAATGACTCCAGAGAAGCGCGACAGACCACGACCACAATCATCGTGGGAAGCATTGGATGGACACATGGCCCAGCATGATCGCATGGTTGCAGGGCATGAGATGGTGCCAGTTAGTGTGACTGCGCCACAGACACCACAGAAGAAGCATCGTGGTGATGTTGAATTGGGACCAGGCTAGACAATGCTTTATGTTTTTCCATGGGAGATCACCCACTGAGTAAGTGCTTCCATGATCTGGATGCAAATCCCCCACTTGACCAAAAAATATAAAGACGCAGATTGATGGTGAAATTAATTGTAGGCCTTTGCAGCAATATAAATCTTCACGATGTATCTTTATGTACCTCTAGTTACCCCTTTGTTGCAGGTTCGGCAGCTCAGCAGATGCAGCGTTGGGCCGAGTGCTTGAAGGTAAATGGAACCTACCTTGAGTTCACAGACTTTTTCTTGGTGTGCGCAACACATGGGCTGGGCTTAAAGCTGGTGTCATTTGCAGAAGGCCTGTTGGGCTGTCGGGTGTCGCAGAAGGACTTTTTTGGAAGAAGGACCTTTTTGTTGGGTGTCGCAGAAAGATAACTTCTTAATTATATAGACTTTTTTGAAAGAAAACTCAGTTAAGTGAGGATATATATGGATATGTAATGATATGTATTAATATGTATTAAGATGCATTGAGATGCTCCAAGATGTTCCAATTCCTCGGCAGGCGCTATGGAAGTCGTTGATGCTTTCAAGTGGGTCGAGGAATTGGTCCCCGGCTTCCAACTATATTCCAGAGTGGCACCTGAAGAACGATACACTGCTGTGGCAGTATTCTGCTGTGCAGACTACCGCAAAGCAGTGGAACATGCCTCATTGAACCATTGGGTGCCTGCATTGATGAAAAATGAAGTCGGCTTTGCACAAGCTCAGTTTGACCAGTGGGCTCTTGATGCCAAGCAAGCCATGGAAAAAGAGATGAAGAAGCTGGAAGAGCAAGGCTTTCGATGCAGAGAAGATCCAGATTTGAAAGCATCCATAGAGACCGAGATGCTCCATCTGAAGCAACGCACTGCAAACTTTCTTAGTATGCAGCAGGAAATGTTCGACGTGCATTCTGTGATCTGCCAAGATGCGAGATCTGATGGAAATTGTGCAGTCTACACCTTGCTGAGCATGATCAGTGATGTCAAAACGTCTGTCCTATCAGAGAAAGATGTGGCAGCATTCCGTCAGAACCTCAGCAGCATGTGGAAGGCCCATTCAGGAGAACCTATGTGGCAACGTGTGTGGGAAGTGCTACGGCAACACTTGGGATCCACAGAGGACTTGGCCAGTTACACTCCTGAGAGCAAGAAGCCGAAGCCGAATCCTCCCTTTACGCCAGACAAGCCAGGATCAAAACGTCTTCTTCCTGCAGGTTTCTTAGATGAAGTAAGCAGTGGCCCAGATTGATTTTTATTTTAAATGCATCTTTGCTTCCCAAAAGCAATTGGTTCCAGTAGCCCTTCGCAAACCGAAATGCTTTGCAGGCAACACACCTGACAGAAGTGGTGTGATTGTGCCCGGGACTGCAATGGAGGAAGCTCCAGACACCCCACCAGAAAAGAAACCGAAGAGGTCTGGCAAGCCAAAGCCTTTGGAAGACAGGATCAACTTTCAGGTGTACTTCCAGCGCTGGTTAGCCGAGAAGGGTATCACCTACAGGTCTTGGATTTCCCAGCACAGAAGACAACATATTTGGGTGTACCTCGGCAGACTGACAGTGAAGGGTCTGGAATATTTTACTATCCTTGCAACGGTAGTTTGAATGTTGGGTTCCTTGAAGTATTCCAGTCTAGACCCCATCACCCATGGCAATGCCTTCACCTGATCACAAGGATTTTCCAATCTTTTTTTTTGACAAACACATCATATCTTCTGATGGATTGTTGACTGTTGACATTCCATTTGTTTTGAGGAAGGGGTCTTGAATTCTTTGTTTTGGCAAAACTGGTAGTTTGAATGTTGGGTTCCTTGAAGTTTTCCATCCTAGACCCCATCATGCATGCCAATGCCTTCCTGATGTTCCAATCTTTGTTTGATGAACATATCATAGCTTTCGATGGATTGTTGACATTGAATTGGCGCGATCATTTCTGGAAGATGAAGGGGTCTTGAATACTTTGTTTTGGCAAAACTGGTAGTTTGAATGTTGGGTTCCTTGAAGTATTCCAGTCTAGACCCCATCACCCATGCCAATACCTTCACCTGATCACAAGGATTTTCCAACCTTTTTTTTGACAAACACATCATATCTTTCGATGAATTGTTGACTGTTGACATTCCATTTGTTTTGAGGAAGGGGTCTTGAATTCTTTGTTTTGGCAAAACTGGTAGTTTGAATGTTGGGTTCCTTGAAGTTTTCCATCCTAGACCCCATCATGCATGCCAATGCCTTCCTGATGTTCCAATCTTTGTTTGATAAACATATCATAGCTTTCGATGGATTGTTGACATTGAATTGGCGCGATCATTTCTGGAAGATGAAGGGGTCTTGAATACTTTGTTTTGGCAAAACTGGTAGTTTGAATGTTGGGTTCCTTGAAGTTTTCCATCCTAGACCCCCATCACCCCTATAAATACCTTCGCCTGGGTCCGATGACCCACAGGGATATTCCATCTGCCCAGGCGTTGTCAAGGCATTTGTCCATTTGGCACATGGGCTGGCCTCTTCAAGCAATTGGCTTCTTGGCTTCTTCATTTTTTTGACATTGCGAAAACCAACTTGAAACGTGGATCTGGTCTGATCCCATACACACACACAGCTGCTGAGGGCGACGGCACTTGGGACGGCGGTTGCACCAGCTGCAAAGACTTGTTGGAGGATAGAGGCGTGACCCAGGCAGTTTTGGCCGAAGAGGTGGCCCACTTGCACAAAAAGGTGAAGATCGATTTGGAAAAGTTTTCCCAGGTGAATGAGCTGAAGGAGTTGAAGAAGAAGCGGAAGTCCCCGGCCGAAGTAGCAGCCTCCTCCAAGTCTGCCAAGACTGATCCCGAGGTGAAGTCTGAGGTTAAGGAGGAGATCTCAGATGATGAGCAAGGTGATGTCGCTGTTGCTCGTGCTGTGGATGCTGAAGATGATTGGGAAGATGCAAAACTGGGGAAGGAAGAGCTGGCAAGGACAGGGGTTTCAATAGGTCTTCTATGGACTTAGGAGGGCCTAATGTATTTCATTTCAATTCATTTCACGACCCCCTCCCTGAAGGTACCATGACCTTGAAATCTGCCAGCGTGGCACCCTTGGAAAAAAACATCCAGTATATTGCAAATGGTGTTCCAAGTACTTCGAAGGCCGAAACCGTGCTCGCATTTGGCAACATGTTGCCAGTCAGGAACACCGGGCCAAGTTTGTTAGGGGCAAGGATGTGGGAACCCAGAAAGAGCCAAAGATCAGAGGTTTGCAGGAGACAATGCTCAACTCGTCATGCTTGCGGGTGACCCAGGGAAAGTGCACAGGCCTGCACCTCAACAGTGCGCTGGGACAAAAAACTCGTCTTGGCAGTGTTTCTTGGCTCATAATTTCGGTTATAGCTGGGTAAAACAATGTAAGACCCCAGGGATCTTAAAAGAATTAGTTGAACCAGATGAACATGAATTCAATCTTAACATCATGTGTTTTCTCACCATGTGTTTGGACACTGTCCTGGGGTTCTCACATGGTTTCCTTGCAACCTGGATTCAGGATTTACGTGAAGCGTGGGAGGAGTTTGCAGCCTATGCCGACTTGTCCATGAGAAACAATCCCTTAGCTGGAGAAAGCTGCATGAAGATTGAACGAAACCATGCTGACAATGATTGGCTGATCCAACATTCAAAGTGCAGCCAAGAAGATTCCGTTGTGCACCAAGGGGCAGATGGAAAAGAAGTTTGTCAACGGTGCTTTGACAACGCCAGCGACCAGAGGTGGCTAGATGAAAAGCCTTCTTTCATCTTCTTTCCATGTTTTTCTCTCGGTTAATCTTGGGTCTGCATTGTATTTCATTGGCAGGTTGGGAGACACTGTTGTGAAAGAGACGGTGTGAAGCATAATAGACCCAAAGCAATAGACCCAATTCAAGACACAAGGGAGACATGAAAACAACAGCACATTAGGATGGATTTTATGGAATCACATCATTGCTGGAGGGTCTGGACTGTAAAGCATGCACAGCTTTGACAAGCACCACACAATGGAAGGTTGCATACATGATGTTAGACCCCAAACTCTGTATCCTGTAGCTGAACACCATGTGTCTCCATGTGGGGCCTTTCGCATGTCTTTCTGACCAGGTTCTTGAGCAGGATCTCTGCACTCCTGATTGACATGGATGCAGCACGATTGCTTCATTGGAGGTCCTTTGCAGCAGAAACAGTGGAGAAGCGGATCGAGGAGCTGAGGAAGAAAGTCGTCTATATCAAGCGCTCCAAGAGCATGTATGAGAAGATATTTGAGTTGTCTGTGCAAGACCTCCATTCGCAGGCAGGCTCAAAGAAAAAAAATGTTTTTTTTTGTTCTGTCATCGCTTATTGATTTGCTCGACCCTGGCCCAGGTCAAACGGAGCTGGTGGGGAAGGATGCGCAACGCCATGACTCCATCCATGGAGCTGTTCTTCTCCACGGTGGTCAAGCCTTGTCTGGACATTGAGCCAGGAGCTGCTCTCAAGGAGACCTACCTCAACAAACTGCTGGATTATCTTGCTTGTGAAGAGGGCACCGGGCAACGAGATTTAGACTTGGTGCGTGACATTTGCTCTGGAAAGCTGCAACGTCACCCTGCCCTTCATGGTGTAACTTTTTCGCACAAGCTGTTTCAAATTTCACATGTTCTTTCAAATTTCCCATGGAAGTGTGATGAAGTTCAATGAGATTCGAACCACTCCAGTGAATTAACACATGCCTTTCGAATCATTTTGATGCATTTTGTTGTTGATTTCAACCTGAGGTAATGACAGCATGCGCCTTGCGGTTGCAGGGGTTGGAGAAAGGAACGACTACCTTCCGAAATGCCAAGCGAAGCTTGGCCTGGCTTATTGACATTGCATGACCTGCTAGGCTGCACAAGGGTCAAAACCAATGATATAAATGGATTCAAGTTGTTTTTGCAAGTTCCAGAGGTGGACATGTATTCAAGACCCCACTTTGCCAAAGATAATTTGGGAACTGAACGTTCCAGAGTTTTTCCATTGGGTTTTGCAATCCAATTCGAGAACACCAGCAAAGCCATTCAAACCCCAAAGGCCTGCATCAATTGATGCCTACAGATTCAAGCTATACTGTCTCTTTCAGATGTTGATGTTGATTTTAGACCCACAACTGCTGAGAGACATCTCACCAGATTTGCTTCCGTGTCCAGGATCAGAGGAAGAGAAGGAACTCCTTCTAGAAGCAGGAGCAGAACTCGCATCCATTGGAGCGAACAATCAGACCTTAGCATTCTTTGGTTTGAAGTGGATGCAGGAGAACAGGTACAGAGGCGCTGTGGAAAAGCTCAGGGCCTGGGGCTTGCCGATGATGGTAGCTCCTTCTGCTGAAACCATTGAGGCCAACGACCACGTCATCAGTACCAAGTTTGGACGACTGCCTACCTCAGCGCAGCGCCGTTTGGTTTGTGCCTTTGATCGAACCTACATTGAAACCTCAATGCAGCTGTTTCGTGGGGACTGTGGTCCGTGTTTTGCTGGAGGCAGGATTGTGGGCTGCTGTTAAAGTGATTTTTTTTTCCATATGGGCAGGATCATGTAAGATATGTAAGGGTCTCGAGACGTTCAATGATTTAAATTTAAAACATTTTGATCAAAAGGGTGCAACTCAATGCAACTTTTCCTTTTCTCTCCTTCTCTTCTCCTTGTATGGAGGTGCTCATCGCCCAGACGGTTTCGCTGAAGCAGACGAAAGCCTCTTGCCCATTAAGCGTGAGGAAGGTTCTGTGACCTTTGACACCAAGGGTGTCAAGCGTGCTTCAGAAATGGAGTCATATTTGATCTGGGATTCCTCACAGAAATCCAGCGTGATCTATGAGCTGGCTGCATATCCTTGTTTGGCTGCGGCCTGCCAGGATGAGTGCTTCGAAAAGGTCATGGTCAAAACCAAGCACATCCGAGGAAAATGAGAGAAACTGGTGCGTGTCGGCACTGTCTTGGCCAATGCTCCTTCCATCAAATTTTTGCTGGGAGATGGCCATACCAGCCACCGCTGGGTGCATGAGCTGCTTCTAGGTCAAAAGATTCCCTTGCCGGAAGAGATGCTTGAGAGGGCACCTTTTTGGAAAGACCTGAAGACCTCCGAGTTGCCCGTTTCTTGTATTCCTCTTCCTTATCGTTTGGTTTCCATCGATGGATGCAACCTGCACTACATACCAGGCCTGCTTTGCAAACAATTGATATCTTTCGAAGGATTGTTGAATATTGTTGACATTCCATGCTTTCGATCATTTCTGAAAGATGAAGGGATCTTGAATTCTTTGTTTTGGCAAAACTGGTAGTTTGAATGTTGGGTTCCTTGAAGTATTCCAGTCTAGACCCCATCACCCATGCCAATACCTTCACCTGATCACAAGGATTTTCCAATCTTTTTTTTGACAAACACATCATATCTTCTGATGGATTGTTGACTGTTGACATTCCATTTGTTTTGAGGAAGGGGTCTTGAATTCTTTGTTTTGGCAAAACTGGTAGTTTGAATGTTGGGTTCCTTGAAGTTTTCCATCCTAGACCCCATCATGCATGCCAATGCCTTCCTGATGTTCCAATCTTTGTTTGATAAACATATCATAGCTTTCGATGGATTGTTGACATTGGATTGGCGCGATCATTTCTGGAAGATGAAGGGGTCTTGAATACTTTGTTTTGGCAAAACTGGTAGTTTGAATGTTGGGTTCCTTGAAGTATTCCAGTCTAGACCCCATCACCCATGCCAATACCTTCACCTGATCACAAGGATTTTCCAATCTTTTTTTTGACAAACACATCATATCTTTCGATGAATTGTTGACTGTTGACATTCCATTTGTTTTGAGGAAGGGGTCTTGAATTCTTTGTTTTGGCAAAACTGGTAGTTTGAATGTTGGGTTCCTTGAAGTTTTCCATCCTAGACCCCATCATGCATGCCAATGCCTTCCTGATGTTCCACAATCTTTTTTCGACCAACTTGCAGGAGTTGCGCACCTTCAGAAGAACCTTGCTGAACAAGTTCGCTCAGTCCTTGCCAGCATGCATTTTGGCAATTTGGTTTGCGATCACTCGGCCTCGCTGGAGGGAGGCATGTGGCCAGCAGCCTTTGTGGGCTTGGATTCTATGAGCGACAAGCAGGCTGCATTGCTGCTCCTGAGCAGCAAAAATGAATTTGGCAGCATGCGCAGGGTCTGGAATGCTTGATTGGCCTTTCTTAGAATTCAAGTGACCTTTACAGCACCCCTAAAGCAAACTAGACCTTCAGCACAGCTTCTTCAGGTTCGAACCAATCAACTACATGGCCAACCCCAAAGCTGAGTTCTTGGAGATTCCTTGGTGTTTGCAGGGTGCCTTTGTGTTCTCCCTCATTGGAGCTCATTGTGTGGCTGGAGTTCTGCACAAAAATGTGAATCGCGCATGGCGGTTGGAAGTGGCCATGACAGGTTGCTTGGCACTTGACTGGAGGGGTTCAGCCACTTTTCTGCTGGTCTTGGAAATTAAAAAACAAAAACACATTCTCCTTTGATATCCTTTGCACACATAGGGTCTCGGATCATGTTTATTGTGTAATCAGATTTTCTAGATCGCAACCAGACATAAGTGAACATTCCAGACCTTCCCTGCTCAGGCCTTTCCCTACTCAGCCTTGGACTGATGATGGCTTCTGACACTTCCAAGAAGCTGGGTGTCCCCTTGCGGTCTTGCTGGATGGACAAAAGGACCTTTAGAGCCCTCCAGGATTTGTGTGGGGCCATCATCTTGGCAGTTTGGGGATGTGAAGTGAACACAAATTGGCCGTGTCTCACAGAGAGATCCCTGGAGAAGAGGTTTGGCAGGGTGCGGACAATGTTCCCTACCTGTGTCATGACAGCGGCCGACTACTGGAGGGGATCCGCCACTGTCATGCGTCGGGAGGATTTGAAGAATGGAGCCAATCTTGGTGGCACGTCTGCTGTGCAAGATCAAGATCATGAACGACTGACAGAGGCTCAATTCACCAGTATTGCTCAACGTGCCTTTCAGGCAGCCTTGAAGTTCTCTTGCCTTTGCAGTGGCCGGTCTATGCATGATCTTGAATCATCTTTTGCTGCCACCAAATCGGCAGCTTCATGTGAGGCTGAGCTTCAAGCAGAGGAGAGTGATGCCGAAGACCACGAAGGTGCTGGTGCATTCTTAAAAGTTTGTTTTTGGTGTTCAGGTTTTTTGAAAGTAAAGAAGCTCCATGGTCGAAGTTAGATGGAACATGAGAAACTTAGAACAAAGATGTGGCAGGCTTGGGCTCGGGCAGAGATGCTGCTGATGTACTCAGTCACATCAGAGAGACTCAGGCCTTTATCAAGCGCTTTGAGGCCGAAGACATGGATCCAGAGGAGTTGATTTCACAAGAGACTGAAGATGCCTGCATTGCTGCGGAGGAAACTTCCCGTGGCAAGAATGTGTCCAAGGACATTGCAATTGCCACTGAGACAGTCTTGCAGGCGCCTCCAGATTCAAAAGAAGATCTCGATGATTTGGGCTTGGGCAGCTTTGCTCCTCGACAGCCTTGTCGCAATACTTTGAGCGGAGCCTTGAAGAACCACGAGAGCTTTGCTGCATGCCAAGATGATTGCTTGAGGCTTCTATGCTACCTGCGAATGGCGCCTCTGGGCTGCGACGGAGATGTGGTGCCGCACCCAATGCACACGAGGAAATTGGTCATGGCCACTCCCAAAAAGTGGCATGACATGGTGCGCCACCAAATTGCTCAGAATGATGCTTTTGAACGTCTTCCTGCCCAAAGGAAGTCGCGGGTCACTGCTTGGGTTGAAGCCACAGAGAAGGCGAGGGTTGACTGCGCACCTTCTTTGCCCAGCACCCTCACCATATCATCCGGAGACTTTGTGGCTGTGCAGTGGCAAGGACACTGGCATGTGGCTATGGTGCTCACTTTATGGCGCCACTACAAGAAGGGCTCGGGAGCACAGCCATGTCCCAGGCTTTGCGCCAAGGGCAGTCTGCACTCGGCACGTGTGGCCATTATGGAAAAGGAATCGGACACAGTGTACAATGCTAATGCTCAAAGCCGCATCCTTGTCTTGACTGTTGACAACCTTGCGGTTCGCCTTGATTCAGAAAACATGGAGAAGAAGCTGGCAGTGGATGGAGTGAAGATCAGTCTTGGCGAGGACACTGTTTTTTTTAAACAATATTTTGACTGTGCATGGAGGTCTGAAATTATGTTTCCCACATCTCATTTGAATCCTCAATGGTAGCAGTGATGGAAAACATGTGTAGGCCCTGTGCTGCCAAGAATGATGGCAGCATTCTGTCACAATGTTTCCAATATTTTCCAATGAACACAATCAGACAAAACAACATTAACAAAGGCATGCAAAGGCATGCAAAGTTTGTCATTTACTGAGGTCTTAAGTCATCGTGTTCTGATAAGACCGTTGTTGAGTCGTGGTGTTGCTTGAGAGATTCAATTCCAGACCCCCAGCTCCATATACTTCCTGCATCTTCCTGCTAATTCCTGCAGATTCAAAAGAGTTTCATCAAACACATTAAACAAAGCATTGTTGATAGGTCTGGAAGTTTGATGGGCAAAGGTTTTGTCTCAATGGATCTGATCAACCCTGATCATGTTCATTTTTTACTGAGGTCTTCAGTCATTTTGTTCTGATAAGATTGTTGTCGAGTCCTTGTATTGCTTGAGAGATTTAATTCCAGACCCTCAGTTCCATATGGTTCCTGCTAATTCCTGCAGATTGAAAAGAGTCTCACCAAAACACATCAAACAACATTATTGATAGAGGTCTGGAAGTTTGATGGGCAAAGGCTTTGTCTCAGTGGACCTGATCAATCCTGATCATTTTCATTGTTTATTGAGGTCTTCAGTCATTGTGTTCTCATAAGTCTGTTGCTGATTCCTGTTGTGTCTTGAGAGATTTCATTCCAGACCTTTGTTGTGTTTCCATTTGGCAGGATGCGCGCAAAGCCCTTGCCTACTTGGAGAAGGAGATGCCAGTGACAGTGGTGCAGCCGGCAAGGAGAGGAGGAGGAAGGTGCAAAGGTCCCAAATACATCACACCGACCACCGACAAGTTTCGCCGCACAAAGGAGGGCGGCCGCCTGATTTGCCAAGAATTGCGACGGCTCCTTCAGGAGGAAGTACGCATGTTCCCACACAAAGCTATGATCAACGCCAATGGCGACACCGTGCGCTATTCCAAGTGTGGGGAGGCAAAGGAGATCGCAATGGAGGTGCTGATGGTGAAAGCCCCGATTTTTTTTTCCGCCTTTTACGTCAACATTCGCCGCAAACTGGATTATGGTCACAAAGTCCATTCGTGGCTCACCAAAGTTACTTGCCCATTTTGGACATTTTTTTTGTGGAACATTTTTTCATGGTTGTTTTTTTATTTTTTTTTGGGGGGGGATATTATCGAAGAGTGAAAAAGTGAAAAAAAAATCTCATCGAAAAAATGTCGAAATATTTCTCTAATTTGTTCATATTTGTTCAGACCTTTCTGTTCATGTCTATTCCCAGATTTTAGTTCCAACATTTTTGGAACCCAAGGCGATGACGGTCTTGAAAGATGAGGGCTCCACTCGAGAGCTCAACGGACTGATTTGCCAGATTGCTGAAGCCAACCTCGGATCAAATCCGGGCGAGGCTGAGGCAGCGCAGGTTGAAGAATCTGCCTCTGACTGAGAGATGCTGTAGTGCCTGCTGCACAGGAACATCTTGTGGCAAGGGGTTTGTCATATGATGATTCGTTCGAAGGCACAGAGACATTCTGACAGGATGCGTGCAGCAAAAAAAGATGTGACGAGAAGATGCAACTGCTGGAGGGATGTCAGTCACCTCATTGTTTTTTGACCAAAAGTTGTTGTGTATATATTCATTGTAACCCCTCAAACATCTATGGTTTTATAATCTGCTATATATATATTTTTTGCTTCACAGGAACTCCATGTTAGACCTTCAGCTTCAGCATAGCTCCCCTGGTCTAAAGTGCCTCTGAGAATCTCAGATTTAGCAATAGCAGTTCATTTTAGACCAGCGTTTTAGGGTCTACAATGTAACCACCAAGGCCCCCTCCAAGTACTTGAGGGTATATATTTATATTTATGTATAATAGATTTACATATATATATATAGATACACACACACATATATATATATAGACACACACACACATATATATATATATATATTCATAGTTTAAATATATATGTATGCACATATTAGATGCATCACATATATAGGACTGCAGAATTCTATGTGTTAATTGTTTTCATTTGCGCTGTAGTACATTGAATTCTGGTTTGGCCATTTCTCAAGCTCTTTTTGTTGCCAAGTTGAGCATGTATCTCGTGTACCAAACATCTTTCAAAAGACCCTCGACAAGATAAGATGAGACTGGCCCAACACGCACTAACCCCAAAATCGATGGTTTAGTAGTAGCAGTAGTAGTTGCAGTAGCAGTAGCAGTAGCAGTAGCAGTAGCAGTAGTGTCTAGTTGGTTTGTTTTCCAAATATGGAACTGAAAAGTTACATTCTGCGCCGCACCCCCATCATTGATCGCCCCTGTGGATTTTTCAGGCGGTGCAGCGTGCCTTGCATGCGGCAGTGGCGGAACTCCAACACGTGGAGGTGTTTCGTGCTAACGAATGTCTGGCGGCTGTGGCGTTCACTTCAAAATTCAAGGGGGGTTCGCCAACGAAATATGGAGCTGTAACAGATATGTATACGAACGTATACTATTTATAGCAGTTTTAAAAGGCCCACATGTCAATACGGTGTCATACCACTGGATGGTGGTGTTCGAAATTCGTTCATGTCCCTTCTCTGTACCGCCGAGGGTAAATCTCATTTTGTAGGGCAAATAAATAACAAACTAGCCCACATTCCTTTAGTGGATAGATCACTATAGATAACTGATTGCTTGGTGAAAATAAACCTTTTCTCGAGGACGACGGATGAGTAATTAAATAGGTTGCTCATACAATATGCGGATGGAAAAGTTATAGTTATACAATATAAAATATAAATGTTATAGTTATATTTGTTTGTTGAGTTGATATACATAAATACACATGCGGTATGATGTAATGTTGGCTGCCTAATAGTAATCACCCCCCCTAATTTTTTATTTTATTTTGGGGGGGGGGTCAACCTTCCTATAATAACTGTTGGGAATCTACAGCTGGGTTTCTGAGAGATTGGCGAAGAGTTGGCAAGGCGGAAGTGGACATGGAAGTGGGGGCAGAGGTGGTGGAGGCGAAGGAGGAGGACGAGGAGGAGGAGAAGGAGAAGAAGGAGAAGGAAAAGGATGACAACAAAATTGGAGTTGCGGAAAAAAGTTTCCACTATTGCCATGCCTGGTGCAGGTTTGTTATTGCTATTCTGGGGCTTGCAAAGGGGGTACCCTTTGTGGACCTGTTTTCTTGCTTTTTTCAATAAGGGTTTTCTAAGGAAATCAGCTGTTTGGTAATTGGATCAGATTTCTGGAATCTAAGCTTTTGCTAATCAAAAGTGAAGGCTGCTTTGAAAAGGATTTGCTTTACTTGACTCTTTTGGCAATACTAAAAGTAAATGGAGCTAATTGACTTTAGTATTGGTGAAAAAATTGGAGTTGGGAAAAAAGTTTCCACTATTGCCATGTTGGGTCCACTATTGGCCATGCCCTCTGGACAAGGTCTGAACATGACTCTTTTGGCAATACTAAAAGTAAATAGAGCCAATTGACTTTAGTATTGGAAAAAATTGGAGTCGCGGAAAAATGTTTCTACTATTGACAAGATATCACTATTGGTCAGACAACATTATTCTTATCGTGTTTGTTGGTTCAGCTGGCAACTATTGGTTTGCAGCTTTCTGTTGGTTAAACGCATGTACCCTGTTTAGGCGGTAGCATGTATATACATAGTTTGACTTTAGCAGGGAAAAATGCATTAAGTCCAAGACTAGCAGGCAATGAAAAGCAACTGTTTTTCCAAGGTCTTGAAATTGGACCCAACAGCCATATTCCATCTCTATGTTGGTGAAATCATTTGCCATATGCTGTGCTTCCTCGGACCTGGACCCAGCGATATCTATAGCTAATTTTTCGGCTGTTTCAATCACCTACACCCATAAAACCCCACTGGAACCCAAACAAATATTACACAACAGAAAATCTGTCAGCCACATGGTTTTCCAATGGTTTCCATCTTAAATCCATGGACCCTGGCAGGTCACCTTGCGCGTTTCCCCGCGCCACGCGTCCGACTCCGGGGATGGTGCCGGGCTGGCGGCACCCGTCTCGCCGATGTCGCCGGTGTCATCGCCGTGCTCACCAGGCGGACGGGGAGGTGGAGAGGCGGGAGGTGGATGATGCGCTGCGTTTTGGAATGGTAGTAAAATTATGATGTAAAATGTATTAAAATGTAGGATTTCAATGTATGTTTCAATATTGTGGTGGGAACTCACTGTGCTTTGGGTTTAACGTTTGGAACATTCAATTTTGATATGTTTTGAACATCCGAGATAAATTGAAGAAGCATTGCCTTTAACGGGGGTTTCTTGACCAGATCGCAGCCAGCGAAGAAATTTTTGGCTTAGATTCATAGGACTCCCTGACCCCTTTGTTGATTGTATTGTTTTGGAAGGGGGAAACTTATCTATACTTATCTTGTTTTGGTGGTTGGGAAGCCAAGACTCGTACACTACCTACAAATTGGGGATGTGAATTATTGAAATACAAAGCGCGGGCGCCCCGAAACACTTGATTCACCACAGGAACCCAGCGGCGGCTCAACCATGCTTAATCACTTCAGAGGTGGTGCTTTGAAATATGCCCCGGGCAAAACTAAATGCGGAGAATATTGGAGAACCCACCCTTTGTAGATCATTATGTAGGTTGTTTTCCTAGGGAAACCATGAGTTTTCCACATCTATATGTTAGTTTACCATAGTTTACCCTAGGGTATGTGGTTTTCCTGCGATAGTCTCCATCGACAGGCCCCTCTGGACGCTTCCTGGAGAAGGGCGTACGTCGAGGGCGGGCTGCAGACTGGTGTGCGACCAGTCTTTCGAAAGCAGAGCAGGTGATCATTACCGAGGCTGGGCACCCTGGACCCTGGGCACCGGCTTGATAGCAGCATTGAACACAGTGTGTAGAGCTGCATTTGATGTAGATGCCCAGAGAGACTTGGGAGGGCTCCCAAGAAATTATTGTAATTACATGTTGTTCATGTTTAATTATTGTTATATAATGTGCTATACCTATCGAAATCTGTTTGGCGGCTGACATGCAATATGTTGGACAAACAAGGAGGGTCCAAAGCTGGCCGTTTCATGCTGTTTCACATGGAGGTCCAGTGGAGTTTTCAAACACCCAAAAACATATGGAGTTGTTGGTTAGATTCGATATCCCAGTATATCCCCATGATCATCCAATTACATCATATTTAATTCAATTTAATTTAAATTATAGGTGTTATCACCATATATACAAAAATAAATATATGTAACTAGGTGTGTATATATATATATAAATATAAATTATATATGCATACATATATATATATAATCTATAAAATATATATTCTTTATTGATATACTATAATATAATATAAAATAATATGATATAGTATAATATGATATAACATAATATAATATAATTTAATAAAATATTCCATACTTTAATATAATATATGTAATATAATATAATATATTATATAATAATATAATTTAATTTAATTTACTTTAATATATAACATAATATAATATAATATCATATAATATCATATAATATAAAATTATATACAATATAATATAATATAGTATAATATAATATAATATAATTTACTTTAATATAAAATAATAGAATATAATATAATATACGTTAATATAATATAATATATTAAACTTTAATACAAATATATATATAATGGTTGATCTACACAGACACAGCCCGGCCAGGAAGGATGGTCACGTTTCTTTTACTATGCCTTCGCAAACATGGATGACGCGATGGAGGTGTTCCAAGCCTGGCCACTGGGACAACAACCATGATGAAATATGGACTTTCCATCTTTATCCACCAGTAAACATAGCTATGGAAAATGGACCATTTATAGATGATTTACCTACTAAAATGATCTAAAATGGTGATTTTCCATTGTTTTTTGTAAGTTTACCAGAGCGTATCCACCAACAATGATCAAAGTTTTGACTCAAGGCGGGGCTGCGAAAATCTTGATACATGAGGGTTGGTTAGGTGGATGATTTCTTTGAACCAAGGCCGCATACGGCCCGCGTCCTCTATTCCTTTGATGCTTCTGCTGGATGTTTGGTCCAAGAATTGGAAGCCGATGCTGGTGCATCTGTGGGGTGCCTCGTCGGGATGAGTTGATAATACCCGGGGCGTGTCAGTAGGGGGAAAGATTTTTTGGCATGTTGCATACTTCTAGAACTTATGGATTTTTATGGTTTTTTCCCCTAATGGTGCTCACCATTTGCCAGTAATGAGGGTGCAATTAGGTTTGAGGTGGTGCTCCCCAGGTAGGCTATCTAGGGGGCCCCACCTTGAGCCTCCAATATCCCCGGACTACAGTTTTTTTTAGGCCATGATCCCGTGATGTTTTGCTAAGCATTGTGCCCGAGGTGGTCACTGAACAACATCCGTGGTCGAGCCGAAGCTCTGATGCTGCCAGATGAGAGTGAAAACTGAGCCATGAGTTGTGGATAATGGCCGGTTTGTATCAAGCAACGTAGTCAGTGTTTTTTCCCCTTTGCATAGTCTTTAAGACATGAAAAGTGTTGGCCATAAATGAAAACCATATGAAAGCAGTCTATATTTCCATATATATATATATGTGTGTGTGTGTCCATTACATCCCATGACATTTTACCCAGCCCCAACCATTTCCACGGATGGTCTCTGAGACCATCCGTGGACCATGGTTCACGTTTGCTCCACCTGCATTCCGGAAGTGAAATGCAGACATCACTGGGCTGAAACTTGGCGGAAAATGCTGGCGAATGCGACTGGTGGCTTGCGGAAACATTTCGCCCAGAAACAGTTCGCCCAGAACATATTCTGGCCTGGCCGGTGGTTCCAAATAAACAAATAAACAAAATATCTAATCACATATATATATATTTATACATACAGATATAATATGTATATAATATGTATATATATAATATATATATATATTGATTTGCACCAAAGTCGAGCAAGTTGACGTTGTTTTTTTTCCTCAGGGGAGCTGCAACCCCCCAACCAGGCAATGTGTTTCTGGTTGGTGCAGCATGTCATGGTTCAACGTGAGCCAGGCACGGACTACCATAACGCCTTGAAATTGGGCTTGGTGGCCCAGAGCAAAAGAATTAGCAACCCCAAATCCCCCCAAAACGTCAAAATAATAAAATAGCAGTTTTATTGGCAAGATAATGGACATTCATACATATGCATGGTCTATAGAAACTCAGTGGCTTGAGTGAAATAAGGTCCAATGCACCATCCATCGAGGCTTTGACGTGGAAGCCCTTGAGTGGCCCAAGTGGCTGCGAGAGAGCGAGCTAGTGACGGCCTGAGGTCCGGAGCATTTGGTGAATTTGGGAAGTGGCATTACACTTTGGGAAAAAAAACTATGCAAAATCCTTTTAGATTGGAAATCCACGAAGGAAATGGGGGCCATTTTCTATAGCAAAGTGTTAGTTTACCGGTATGTTGACTTTGGAGGAGAATCCCATGTGCTAATCATCCCCTTTGGATGCTACCAACTTATGTGTAAATCCCTCGCTGAAACCATATCTGGGGCATGTTCAATACTAGGGGGATGGAATTATTCCTATCCTTGCTTTCCCCGCCACAAGGTTTTTTTTGTTTGTAAGATTTCCTCCTGTCGACATTGCCCTCACTACGCATGCGGGGTCGTAATGATCCTTTTTTGGGTTCGGGTTTATGTTATGTCTAGGCTTTGATCTCGTTTGCACATCGCAAAAACCTTTCACTCCAGAAACGAGGTCCCAAAGAGTTTCAAGATTTGCACCAGATGAGGCCAAAAACCGCAAGGCTTGATGAGTTGTTCCATTCCCTGGCAAGCCTATGAGGCCTGGCAAGCTCAATAGTATCATATAGTAATCCCCAAAAGATCGAAAAGTAAATTCCAACTGAAATATTTTGTGATTCAATACTGGTTGGTGGTTTCAAATATGTTTTATTTTTCCATAATATATAGGGGTAGGTCAACCACCAACCAGAATAACTGTCCCCATGTTCCATCGCCCCATCGCGGCTGAGGGTCCATTGCTCCCAAAAACGGTCTTCACGCCGGGCGAGACGATTGGCTTTGTAGGTGAATGGAGATATAGAGGGTGTGGCTGAAGCAGATTGGCAACTGGCAAGATCTGGTAAGTAAGTACCATATAGTACCATCATAAGACTAGTGAACTCCTACTGTGGCATGAGTTGTAACATCTAGCGGATGGAAAAGTTGATCGCTGATCACTGGTTTCTGGCTCAGGGTTTCCTGTATTACATGGGATAGCCCCAGCCTTACGGCATGTGGAATGATCTTGCACGTGCCAACGTGATCTTTGAATCAGGATGCAGGGTTGGAAACTGAGGCCTTATCACTATGAGCAGTAACCGACAAAATTAGTTGAAGACTAAAATTAGATAAAATTAGTAGGAAGTGGACTTGGATGTTCAAATTGGTGTGAAAACCTTCACAACCGAAAGGGGACCACCCACTTACCGATAACCTATTTAGTACAATCTGCTAGGGGACCGCCCACTTTGGCCATGTGCATTGCGAATAGTAAGTAATGTTGTCCGCTACTCGCATGATTATTGCTAACTATGATTGATATTATTATTGTTATTAGTTATTAGTATTATTGTTACTATGTTTATTCTTATTCAACTTTATTGTTGTATATATATATATGTATCAAGATGTATGTACAAAGTTCCCAAGAGATCAGAGTGTCCAAGTTGAAGTAAATTCAAGATCATATCTAACTATTTGACCTTCTTGTCATCTTCACAACTCGTAAGGCCCGGTATGGAACGGAACCTTGGCCATTGATGGAGGAATGTTAATACGTACGCAGATTCTTCTCAGGTGTATCTAAGGTTGGCCAATCTTGGCACGGCAATTGAGCCAATCTAGGCCACACACGTTCAGGTACAATATATATATATATATGTGAGATACCGTCAGAATGAGATAGAACAAGCGTAAACTACTTTAGTAAGGAGGGGCGCAGTTGTGCTGAGAAAGTGCACCAAACCATGTAAAGCGATAAATTGTAACCATATAATTTTGAGAATGTATTAAGCCTGGTGTAAACCGCGCAAATATTGTTGTGTACCTGCATGCAATGGGCAAAATTGATGAACACAACTTTAACCTGTAGTGTCCGTGTTTCCTCCACAGTGATTGAACCGTTGCTGTTTGCAGCCAGTTTGTTTTTTCTTCCCCAGATCCCAAAGCAGTATATATAATAACTAAACTATACGCAGTTGAATTCCGAATTAAATCAAACATAAGCCAGTTCTTCCAAAGGACGCAGGAAACTAGGTCTTTCAAGTAAGACCCTGTTTTTCTTCGAGAGCCTCGCCTGTCCCAGCCCATGGACCACACAATCTACAGCAGCTTCCAACCATGTCTGTTTGAACTATAGTACTATGGCTTCCAAGAGACAAAAATAATGGCACGTCCAAGCAAAGAACACACTTACTGGACTCAAAGCATATGTTTTATTCCATGGCCATTTTATGCCATGGTTGGCTTGCTTTTTTCCCGTGCTAGCTCCAGCGAAACGTGCACTATTCATACCTCACACATTGGAAAAGTGAAACTAAAACCCACAGCCGGCGAAAAGATCAATCCTTGTCAAGTCTCTAAAGCTAAATTCTCGGTGAGTTCTGGGGATCCTTTAACTTGCTTGCTGCTATAGGAGCTGTTTCCTTACCTTTCTCGGAAAAATTACTAGCAGGGGCCATTTCGGCTCCAATTAGGAGCAATCAAAAGGTTAAACCGCTGGCTGAAAAAGAATGAACCTGAACCTGAGTCCACGGAGGGTCTGAATAAATTCAAATGCACAACATGCACATCAATTTGATTGCACACTCACAGGTGAAAACATGGAATCCCACTCCAGAATGCCCAAACCAGATTTATCCACATGTGGAATTTCTTCACGGCCTTTTCACGAGTTGTTCACGGTCTTTTCACATGTTTGGGTATTGCGTTGTTCGTGTATTTTGTGACAATTTCAGCGGAAACCGTGAAGACATGATTTTAAGATCACCAACTGCAATTTCAGATCAAACAAATATATATATATATCGGATAGGCACGCTTACAGCGGCCATTCTTCAAACCGGTGGCACACTGACAAGTAGTAGGCAACATGTTCTTTTACTCGTGCCTCATCAGAGGTAATGTTGAAGGGGATGAATATGAGAATCACTGCACTTCATTTTGTTGCACAATCATGATGTTGATGGGAGGTCTTGGCCATTCTTAGATAATTTCAGCCACAATTTGATGATTTGCTTGTTGTTTTTTTAAGTTCGGTTTCATTTTGCTAATCCAGCCGAAGTGCCGTTTCTAAAACTTAGATGATGATGGGTGAGGTCCGGAAGGTTTTTTTTTTGAGCATGAGATGATGTTCCTAAAATACAACTTACAGTACATATCTCATCATATCTCGAGCCCATGATCCCTATACCGTACTTTTCTTCAGCATGCTGCAGCATGCGGTATTCATACGGATGTTCATGATTGTTGATCAGCCTTTAGATGTTTGATCAGGACATGGCCATACTTGATCCCAAGTCGCAGGGCCAAGTTTTGCTTTAAAAGTAAAACTAGGTCGAGGACCTAGTTTAACTAGGCCTTTCGAGAAGGCCTAGTTTAACTAGGCCGTGGAAGATAAGGGTAGTTTCAAATTCAATTCTGAATTCCGTGTGTTTCCTTTTTGTTCAATTTGTCCTCTTTTCTTCCTTCATATTCTTTTCTTGGAACTTCCTTCCTTTTTCCTTTTGTTTTCTCAATGTTCCTTTTTGTCTCACGGTTCTTCTTTTTTTCTCTTTTCTTGATCATCAGGGTGGCTTAAAAAAGGGAACCTTAGCGATAACCTAGCCGATAACCTTTTGTTGAAAAAGGGGCGCAGGACGAGGGATAACTCATCTGATCCCAATGGCATTCTTTTCCAAAATGCCATACAAGCAACAAGAAAAGGAAATGACAGGTTCTTACAAAAAAGCAAAGAAAAAGATGACTTTTGAAGCCTTTGATGAAGCCGATTTTGGAAGAACAGCAATTTTGCTGCATTTTTGTGTTATTTAATGTTATTTATAATATAATATATATATAGTGTTGATATGAACAACACACTATAAAGCGATAGGGGCGCAAAAAAAACAATAACCTATATTGTTTGCACCAGGCGTGAGCAATTGATTTTGAAGCTTTTGAAGGCTGCTCAAATACTATGTATATAACCTATAAACCTATGTTATTTTGTATATATAAGTCATATGACATCATATAACTATGTCAATGCAAATGGCAGGAATCAAATCTTGGGCCAGGAAACACATTGCATCCTATCAGTCATAGATTTTCGTAATCGTTTGTCATTTTTATGTTTCCCATGTGCATTCATTAAAAGGCATATAAGCAACTTGTATATCACGTGTGTTTTTGTCTTAGGAAATCACGGATTGTCTAGTACTTATCATGGTTTCGAGGGGGGTCTGGGGGGGTCTGGACAAGCTTGGATAAGCCATGGATAAGCAAGGATGATCATGTTCAGAAAGAAAGGTGAATTCCCGGGTGTTCATTGAAAGTCTGGGAGAGTGATTTGACCTGGATTTTGGGGTGGGGGTCGGGTGGCTTAATAAGGGCTTAATAAGGGCTTAATAAGGGCTTAATAAGGGCTTAATTGATAGGCATTGGATAAGCCTTGGATAAGCGAGAAACAGCAAGCTTTTCTGCTTACCCGCCCCCCCAAAAAATGACATCTCAGGCCTCAGGACCCCAGAATTGTCAAAATTGAGGAAAAATGGTGAACACACATCGCAAGCACTGCACAAATCCCAATTTCCTTTTTTCTGGGTTGCGGCTCAATCCACCCGTTGCTTTGGATAAGCAATGGATAAGGAAGTTCAGGTATCCACGGGAATAAGACCTTAATAAGGCCTTGAAAGATAGCCCCTTAATTAGCCTTAATAAGCCCTTAATAAGGCTTAATAGGTCCTTAATTGGTCCTTCATAGGGGTTTACCATTGTTGTTAAGCCTTACCAAGAGCTTAAATGATAAGCTCAGACCCCCCCAGACCCCCCAGACCCCCCCAGACCCCCCCACCTCGATTCCATGAACTTATTTATGTATACGTAAATATATATATATATATATACATATGTGTGTATATATTATCATATGTATAATATAACAAACCACTTCATAACATAACCACCTCATATTTGCCACATTTTTTAAAAAAATGTTCAGTTGTCACCATGGCTTTCTCCATCTCTGGGGTCATCATGCGCTCTGCCTGGCGGCAGGTGAAAGGCCTGCAGCCAGGCGAGATGGGATCGGTATCCCACCCATGTGGGTTTATAATGGGATATGCAATGGGATCTGGGTAAATTATAACGACTTCACTGTTCTCCCTCACTGGAATCATGGTGAATAAGGGAAATCATCCCCAAATGGCCTTAATTCAGGTTAGTGAATTATTATAATTTACCCAGATGGGACAATGGATGATACTGGGATATAATAATAGTAAATAGTACATAATGACTACCAATAAATAATAATAGTGGGATTTACCAGATGATATGGGATATACAATGGATCATGGATGTTTACCAGCAATAGTAAACTCAACACCACCTGGTAAACATACAAAACACTTGGACAATCACCATTTTGAATAGGTAAATCAACTATTTCTATGGGCCATTTTCAGTAGAGAACTGTTAGATTACCAGAGGGTACCCGTTCCCAGACTAATGTTGGATGGAAATGATTGGCAATGTTTTGTGATGACTTTGGGCCACATCAATGAAATTATATAGAAATTAAAACCCCTGGATGAAGTGAGTTTTTCATGGACTTTTGTTGAAAGGAAAAGACAACGGAGCATCAGCTTCAATGGTTTTCACTATATTCAATTCATTGACCTTTCTTCCAAGCTGGTGTTGAAATTTCAGTCTGAGAGGCAAGTAATGTGGGTAAAACAATGCCATAAACCACCCGTGACTGTGCATGGTTTATACCAACTATGTATGGTGATGACCGGGGGATTGTTTTACCCACATTACTTTCATAGTTTTCGCTTGCCAAAGTTGACACGCAAACGGGGGTTGAACTTATTTTGCTAAAAGATCCTGGAGGGTCAGCAGAGCACAACCACTTGCAACGGCTTGCAGCAAAGCTGTGAGTCTTGCCAGACAAAAGTTGGATCCATTGTGTTGCACTGATAGTGATGTTGAAACAGTCTTTCTGACTCATGTTTTTGTGGTTTATCTTTTCATCAACCCATCCGAAGCCACGCAAGAACTCTCACAGAACTACTGTTATTTCTTTTTGAAGTCCAAATTTACTTAGAAGTTAATCTGTATTTGGCATATTCGGATACAAGTCCAAATTTACTGGAAACCTCATATGTTTTCATACTTTACCCACATAGACAAGTTTGAAAACTCCGTGATTTATGGCCAAATGTCTCCCTTGAAGCCACTTGAAGCCCGTCAGGTTCGGACTTCCAAATACCTGTCGAGTGGCGGCTGGAACTACGGAGCCATGGTGTTCCAGTATGTTCCGGTCAAAGGTGGTGAAGCACATATGGTACTCGCATTTAAGTTATTATACCAATTTATTGTTAGAGTCATAGTTAATATTTAAGTTATTATATCAATTTATTGTTAGAGTATTGTTAGAGTCATAGTTAATATGCTAGATTACTATAGATTGCTTTATTAATGATAATACCTAACTCCCCCCCTGTGAATTTATAGCTAGCATGGTTAGTTGTAATTAAGATGATTAGTTTTTGATTGGTTGACAAGTACACTTCACTAGCTCTCTCAACTTATGTTCGCTGAGTTGAATAATGACAAGCTAAGCTACAGTTGACCCATTTTGACGAGTAGTAAATTGTACATATATATTATATATATTGGTGATGCAATACGACATGATTTATGATTGAACCCGGTTAATTAACCACTATGAAATCATTATATATATATATATATTTATTTATTTACCGTATGACATAAGAAGGATAATCACTAGTAACGCACATGTTTCACATGAATCCAATCACTCGATGAGGGTTTGCTGCTTTTGACCTTCCACTTCGGAACCCCCAAAATTATGCCAACCGTGGATCTGTTTGGGTTTGAAGATACCATTGGATGGTAAGAACTTGGATTCCACAAACGTTTACGGGAACGCAGCGGACAGAACAACCGCCCGCATGGAACGAGGATTCCATTGCGGCCTTCCTGGCGGCAGGCACTACGGAGGCCTGGCCACGGAAAATCCAAAATATGGATTTGAACATGGAGATATACTTGGTCTTACTTATTTACATTATATATCAGATGAGATATCCCAAGAAAGAAATCGTTATATCCGGGATATTTCTAATCCCTGAAAAACGATGATATCTGAATTATTCTATGCTCTGTGGTAATTCAACGGTTTCCTGACTATGGTGAAAATGTGTTCAAATCACACAATCTAAGCGGTATATCCTCATAAATCACCTATAAATTTGATATTTTTCCCTAGGTATGTTGAGTAACCAGAGGGTAGTGAGGATATAATTGGCATATCATTCATATATATATATATATATATTATATATACATGATGGCTCCTCGGAACGTTTCAGCCTATTTGCTGAACAAAAACAGCTGTGAAAACCAGCAAGAAGCCGAATTTTGATGGTTATTGCATTTGCAGCATTACATGCAAACACATATTTATTTAAAACAGTTCATTACTTGAAACAGTTTATTCACATACCCTAACATCCTAGTTTCATCTCTGAGATAGGTAGCATGAGTGAATCTACCATTGGATTTGGTTTTCGTATGCTTACCCGGCTTACCCCTTTGCAAATGAAACTGGCCATCTTTCATGAGATTTCCCCAGATTTCTCCAGAGTTTTCCCCATATTTTCCTCAGATCTCCTCAAAAAAACTATGGGATTGTCCCCAGTGATCACGGCAGGTGGGCGAGGCAGTGACTTCCTTAGGCTCCACCCTGGCGGTGAAGTTGCGGAGCTTGGTGCGGGTGGATGATGCAGCCTTCGGGGTGCGCTCCCTGGGGGGGTAACGATGACTTAAGGTGGGGAATCATGTAGTTGTTTATACATATTTATATTTATGTTTGGTATATCCAGGTATATCTAGGTATATCTAGGTATATCTAGGTATATCTAGGTATATTAAAGAGCATGGAATAGTAACAGTACAGAGTTAAACTGGGATGAGTTTGGTAAAGATATTTGGATAAACTATTGTGATTTGCTCAGAACTATGAGCCATACGTGGTTCGATACCTATGAAATCCTATGAGCCACTAAGAGATGCGGATTATAAGTTATAAGTTATATATATAAATACGATATATATAATTATATATAATTATATATATAATTATATATAATTATATATATAGTAAACTGATATTGCCTCATGTGTTGCTATCAGTGAATCAGGTCCATTTTTTTTTGTAAAGAACCCGTCAGGCACAATAAGGATGCCCACCATGAGTTTCCACTAAAACTAACCAGGCATGTTTCAGGGTCTATATGACTTCTGGGAGAATACGAACCACTATAGGATGGGGGTATGAGTATTATAATTACATAATTTATTGATTCTTGTTGGTGATTGTAACAAAACATGAAAGGGATACCCATCGACCAACCACTTTTTGATCGGACGGGATTGGGTGATTTTTCACAGCTCAGCTGGAAGAATTGTGACCTGTTCTGAGGTTTCAAAATGGGTCGCAGCCTTGAAACTTGCTGCATCTCGTGGTCCCTGCGACCGTAGGTCTATAGCCATCGATTGGGAGGAGATCCGGTTCAGTGGCTGGCTGGGGGCCCTAGATGAGATTTCGTCGGCAAAGATGTTTGGAACTAGTGGCCATTTGTTCGATAGATTCTGACTTGGTATTCAGACAGCATAAGTAATATAAGTAGAAGTCGCCAAGAAGATATAGATCTGAACTTCAGGGAATCTCCTAGCACTAGGTCACTAGGTTTGCAGAAACTGGTGGAAATGGAATCCCTGCTGTGAGCGCATTTTCTAAGATGATAGAAAGAGATCAAGTCAACCCATGCTTCCCCCCATAGATACGGTCGATATGACTGTAGCCTAGTGGAGGGTGATATGTACCCCCCAAGTCTTGAAAGGGCCATCCATTCAAATCAGTTTTGGGTTATCAGTTTCGAAGTGGGATGGCAGAAGTACAGTAGTTCGCTTCTCGAAAAAAAAACTGACTCATTCCTTACCCAAAAATAGTAAAGCACCACCCAAACCCAGCCTTGATGTAGTGTGGTTTAATCTTGGATCTATTCATGACCCTGTCGGCCAGTCATGGGAGAACTTCCTAGTAATCCCGGTAATCCCAAAGAAATTCCATGAGCAATTACCAAGTGGGATGTTCAATGATGTTCATAATCTTAATGATTCTTACGTGTTTTATTATGTTGTATTGATTTACCTAGCAATTTCCCCATTTTTATGCGTTCACCTAGCAATCTTCCATCACTTCCTTCAGTTTCCTGTGGATTCCAACGAAAAAACGATGGTGTTTTTCTTCCAAGGTCGGCGGAGCCTCCAACACCGGAGGTGTGGTGCTACGTGCCTTGACAAAGAGTCACTGCATGGGAAGTTGAATGCTACAATCGTTGGCCAAATGAAGTGTAATATGATATATATATATATATACAGTATTTCATTGAGCACGCAGGAGGTGCGTAAACCGATTTCGCCACTTCACGCCACTTGAAGTGGGATGAAGTGGCATGAAGTGGCATGCTCACGGTGCGACCGCCACTTGAAGTGGCATGAAGTGGCATGAAGTGGCATGCTCACGGTGCGACCGCCACTTGAAGTGGCATGAAGTGGCATGAAGTGGCATGCTCACGGTGGGACATTACGATTACGACTGCTGTTACGACGACGCGTACTACTATTACTACTACTACTACTACGACTACTACTACTACGACTACGTTTACGACTACGACTACTACTACTACTACTGCTACTACTACGACGGCTACGCTACTACTACTACTACTACTACTACTACTACGACGGCTACGGCTACGGCTACGGCTACGGCTACTACTACTACTACTACTACTACTACTACTACTACTACTACTACTACTACTACTACTACTATACTACTACTACTACTTCTACTACTACTACTACTTCTACTACTACTACTACTACTACTACTACTATACTACTACTAGTACTATACTACTACTACTATACTACTACTACTACTGCTACTACTACGACGACTACTACTACTACTACTACGACGGCTATACTACTACTACTATTACTACTACTACTACTACGACTACTACTACTACGACTACGTTTACGACTACGACTACTACTACTACTACTGCTACTACTACGACGGCTACGCTACTACTACTACTACTACTACTACTACTACGACGGCTACGGCTACGGCTACGGCTACGGCTACTACTACTACTACTACTACTACTACTACTACTACTACTACTACTACTACTACTACTACTATACTACTACTACTACTTCTACTACTACTACTACTTCTACTACTACTACTACTACTACTACTACTATACTACTACTAGTACTATACTACTACTACTATACTACTACTACTACTGCTACTACTACGACGGCTACGCTACTACTACTACTACTACGACGGCTACGGCTACGGCTACTACTACTACTACTACTACTACGACAGCTACGGCTACTACTACTACTACTGCTACTACTACTACGACGGCTACGCTACTACTACTACTACTACGACGGCTACGGCTACTACTACTACGACGGCTACGGCTACTTCTACTACTGCTACTAGTATACTGCTAGTATACTGCTTGTACTACTACGACTACGGCTACGACTACTTCTACTACTGCTACTACTACCACTTGTACTACTACGACTACGGCTACAACTACTTCTACTACTGCTAGTGGCGTGAAGTGGCGAAATCGGTTTACGCACCTCCGGCGCGGTCAATGGATTTACTGATATAAAACCATACAGTAGATGAGGAATGCATTTTGAAATAAAACCATACAGCAGTGTGGCTCAAGGCACCACAGGAGAGCTGGGTGAGAAGAGTTGGTAGAGGACATTATTTGGGCAACAGTACAAAGGTAGCAGCAAAGTAAGGAAAGCGTTTCAGAATACAAACATAGCTATGTCAAGAAGTGTCTTACTTTCGTGTCTGAGCACCAACAGAAGCAAGACTGCAGGACATTTTTCCAAAAAAGGGAACCATGTGACAAAACAGGGAAGAACTGTTCGCAAATAAAAAAGCTTGGCAGGTAACCATGCTTTAGGAAGTTGACCAGAAAGAAGGTGTCCACCATGGCCGCCGTGGACAGACTTGTGGCACAGGCCCAATCAGATTTCGGCAGTGACTGGGGGATTCATGTGGAGTACAAGTGGATCTACAAGGTTCTGAATATTGAAAGAGGCCGTAAGGTATCAGCTTCGATTCGATCTGTATCAGAGGAATTGGTCGATCGATGCAAGTGACAGACAGACAGACAGACAGACAGACAGGCAGGCAGGCAGGCAGGCAGGCAGGCAGGCACAGACAGACAGACAGACAGACGTACATACATACATTACATACATTACATACATTACATACATTACGTACATAACATACATTACATACATTACATACATTACATACATTACATACACTACATACACTACATACACTACATGCACACATACACTACATACACTACATACACTACATACGCTACATACACTACATACACTACATACCCTACATACACTACATACACTACATACACTACATACACTACATACACACATATACATACACTACATACACTACATACACTACATACACTACATACACTACACACATACATACACTACATACACTACATACACTACATACATACATACATACATACATACATACATACATACATACATACATACATACATACATACATACATACATACATACATACATACATACATACATACATACATACATACATACATACATACATACATACACACATACACACACATACATACATACATACATTACATACATTCCATACATTGCATAAATTGCATACATTGCATACATACATACATCACATACATTCCATACATTGCATAAATTGCATACATTGCATACATACATACATCACATACATTACATACATCACATACATTAAATACATTGCTTTGCTGGTGGTTATGATTTCGTCTGGTTCGTGCATGTTGATAGTAATAGAAGGTTGTTCTCAACATGCTTACGTTTCTAGTGATGATATTTGTATATATATATTAAAATATCTATACTAGGCTTACATAGTAGTTTCCATACGGGAACCATGGTCACCAAAGGTTTCTGTTTGCTCCTAAGCTCAAGTCATGACAAGTCCTTGCTGCCTTGAAGCTACGCCGATGTTTGGTCACATCTGCAATAGAACAAAAGAATAGAAGGTGCCAACGCCTTCTTTGCGAGCCAGCTGTGTTCTCTCATTACCATCTTGTGACACTCACTTTCTCCGTCCCAACATGTCTCACTGCCAGGTTTGACGCCGAGAATGCCACCGGGAATCCTTTCTCAACCTCGCGACCAAGGCTCGCAGTATTTTTTGTTCTCATGTGAACACATTCCACATAGCCTCTGAGCCATGTAGTCAGTAATGACTTTAGCATAATTAGAAGCATGTCGCAATGATCAAACATTTTTCGAAGCCAATGTACATCGACCTGCAGCCTATTGAATGGTTTGCGGCTAGCGGCTGTCGCTGTATATCGGCTCTTTTCAGCAAAGCGGTAGAGAGAGACCTTCGAACTAATGAATGAGAAATTCAAAGATTTCAATATACAAACACGACATATACAGCAATCTAGAACCTGCCAACTGCCGCCGCTAAATCCAAGTGACAGACTTTGAATCGGAGCGCCCCGGGGGCCTCCAACTACCCTTCCATTTGCTACAAGTCGCAGAGTACTCGGCACGGCCGCCATGTTGCCTGAAACATGTTGGCAGCGTTTGGTATTTCAGTTAGGTTGTCCATGTAGTCATCAGATAGGTGTTGGACGGTACTGGCAATGAGGAGGTGTGAACACCATGAAGGATGTTTGCAACTCCATTTTGGCCCAAGCCTCGCACAATCGCAATCCGCCTTTGTGCATGCTCTGTGTTGTTATGACTTCAGGGCAAGAAAAAGTGTCTTATACTCGGACGGATCAGTGTTCTCTCATTACCATCTTGTGACACTCACTTTCTCCGTCCCAACATGTCTCACTGCCAGGTTTGACGCCGAGAATGCCACCGGGAATCCTTTCTCAACCTCGCGACCAAGGCTCGCAGTATTTTTTGTTCTCATGTGAACACATTCCACATAGCCTCTGAGCCATGTAGTCAGTAATGACTTTAGCATAATTAGAAGCATGTCGCAATGATCAAACATTTTTCGAAGCCAATGTACATCGACCTGCAGCCTATTGAATGGTTTGCGGCTAGCGGCTGTCGCTGTATATCGGCTCTTTTCAGCAAAGCGGTAGAGAGAGACCTTCGAACTAATGAATGAGAAATTCAAAGATTTCAATATACAAACACGACATATACAGCAATCTAGAACCTGCCAACTGCCGCCGCTAAATCCAAGTGACAGACTTTGAATCGGAGCGCCCCGGGGGCCTCCAACTACCTACCCTTCCATTTGCTACAGGAGAGCTGGGTGAGAAGAGTTGGTAGAGGACATTATTTGGGCAACAGTACAAAGGTAGCAGCAAAGTAAGGAAAGCGTTTCAGAATACAAACATAGCTATGTCAAGAAGTGTCTTACTTTCGTGTCTGAGCACCAACAGAAGCAAGACTGCAGGACATTTTTCGAAAAAAGGGGAACCATGTGACAAAACAGGGAAGAACTGTTCACAAATAAAAAAGCTTGGCAGGTAACCATGCTTTAGGAAGTTGACCAGAAAGAAGGTGTCCACCATGGCCGCCGTGGACAGACTTGTGGCACAGGCCCAATCAGATTTCGGCAGTGACTGGGGGGATTCATGTGGAGTACAAGTGGATCTACAAGGTTCTGAATATTGAAAAAGGCCGTAAGGTATCAGCTTCGATTCGATCTGTATCAGAGGAATTGGTCGATCGATGCAAGTGACTGACAGACAGACAGACAGACAGACAGGCAGGCAGGCAGGCAGGCAGGCAGGCAGGCAGGCAGGCAGACAGACAGACAGACAGACAGACGTACATACATACATTACATACATTACATACATTACATACATTACATACATACATACATACATACATACATACATACATACATACATACATACACATACATATACATATGCATACATACATCATACATACATATACATACATACCATTACATTACATTACATTACATTACATACATACATACATACATACATACATTGCATACATTGCATACATACATTGCATACATTGCATACATTGCATACATTGCATACATTGCATACATTGCATACATACATACATACATACATCACATACATTACATACATACATACATACATACATACATACATACATACATACATACATACATACATACATACATACATACATACATACATACATACATTACATACATCACATACATACATACATACATACATACATACATACATACATACATCATACATACATTACATACATTACATACATTACACATACATACATGCATACATACATACATACATACATACATACATACATACATACATACATACATACATACATACATACATACATTACATACATACATACATACATACATTGCATTGCATACAATTGCATACATTGCATACATACATACATCATACATACATTGCATACATACATTGCATAAATTGCATACATTGCATACATACATACATCACATACATTACATACATCACATACATTAAATACATTGCTTTGCTGGTGGTTATGATTTCGTCTGGTTCGTGCATGTTGATAGTAATAGAAGGTTGTTCTCAACATGCTTACGTTTCTAGTGATGATATTTGTATATATATATATTAAAATATCTATACTAGGCTTACATAGTAGTTTCCATACGGGAACCATGGTCACCAAAGGTTTCTGTTTGCTCCTAAGCTCAAGTCATGACAAGTCCTTGCTGCCTTGAAGCTACGCCGATGATTGGTCACATCTGCAATAGAACAAAAGAATAGAAGGTGCCAACGCCTTCTTTGCGCGCCAGCTGTGTTCTCTCATTACCATCTTGTGACACTCACTTTCTCCGTCCCAACATGTCTCTCTGCCAGGTTTCAATATTCAAACACGACATATACAGCAATCTAGAACCTGCCAACTGCCGCCGCTAAATCCAAGTGACAGACTTTGAATCGGAGCGCCCCGGGGGCCTCCAACCACCTACCCTTCCATTTGCTACAAGTCGCAGAGTACTCGGCACGGCCGCCATGTTGCCTGAAACATGTTGGCAGCGTTTGGTATTTCAGTTAGGTTGTCCATGTAGTCATCAGATAGGTGTTGGACGGTACTGGCAATGAGGAGGTGTGAACACCATGAAGGATGTTTGCAACTCCATTTTGGCCCAAGCCTCGCACAATCGCAATCCGCCTTTGTGCATGCTCTGTGTGGGCAAGAAAAAGTGTCTCATACTCGGACGGATCAGTGTTCTCTCATTACCATCTTGTGACACTCACTTTCTCCGTCCCAACATGTCTCGCTGCCAGGTTTGACGCCGAGAATGCCACCGGGAATCCTTTCTCAACCTCGCGACCAAGGCTCGCAGTATTTTTTGTTCTCATGTGAACACATTCCACATAGCCTCTGAGCCATGTAGTCAGTAATGACTTTAGCATAATTAGAAGCATGTCGCAATGATCAAACATTTTTCGAAGCCAATGTACATCGACCTGCAGCCTATTGAATGGTTTGCGGCTAGCGGCTGTCGCTGTATATCGGCTATTTTCAGCAAAGCGGTAGACAGAGACCTTTGAACTAATGAATGAGAAATTCAAAGATTTCAATATACAAACACGACATATACAGCAATCTAGAACCTGCCAACTGCCGCCGCTAAATCCAAGTGACAGACTTTGAATCGGAGCGCCCCGGGGGCCTCCAACCACCTACCCTTCCATTTGCTACAAGTCGCAGAGTACTCGGCACGGCCGCCATGTTGCCTGAAACATGTTGGCAGCGTTTGGTATTTCAGTTAGGTTGTCCATGTAGTCATCAGATAGGTGTTGGACGGTACTGGCAATGAGGAGGTGTGAACACCATGAAGGATGTTTGCAACTCCATTTTGGCCCAAGCCTCGCACAATCGCAATCCGCCTTTGTGCATGCTCTGTGTTGTTATGACTTCAGGGCAAGAAAAAGTGTCTTATACTCGGACGGATCAGTCCTTCATCGCATCAACCCTGAGTCTGGTACATACTTGTCTGGATTTGTTGCGGAAAATGCAGCCGACGATAGATAAGCTTCGGAGATTGGAGCTGGCTGTTCATCATCTGACGTTCCACATGAAGGGAATCAAGACAAATCAGAAGAAGCTAGCTGCAAAATTGCGGCCTCTACGTCCAATGGTGCGTGATATCCACAAATTGAAAGCGAAACACGAAAGGTTGTTTAGCACCTTGAGAACCAAAGGTGCAGTCTTCGCATGTCACAGAGGCTTGCGCCTCCTGAGACGCGTGCGCATGAACAGACGCCGCCGCTGCTGATTCAATAGCCAGCGTGTGAGGGGTGCTGGAAAAAAGATCGCTCCCAGTGCGACTGTTGGCACCGCTGATGTTTTTTTCAAGATCATGTGTGACATGTGGATATGCAAGGATAAGAACCCATAGCTTTTCCTACAGACATGATTCTTTGAACCATCCCAGTGAAATGCTTGTGCGTTCGTGTGTGTTCTCTGGCTAGGACGCTCTAGGGGCTCCTGTCTCTGTGCAGACGATCTGGCCCACAGCCAAGCCATAGTTGTACTGCACGGGGTGTAGTTTCATGTCGGAGCGTCCATCGTGGGAAAGCATGAGCCACGAAGAAGAAGCGGAAGTGGGTGCACAGGAGGATGCGTTGCCCGAATCAGAATTCCCTCCAGAGTGGCATGAGGATGAACAAGGCGAACTCCAAGATGCCGCACTTGGAGCGCCCCAGGGGCCTCTGACTACCCATCATTCAGAGCGAGAACTAGGCGACCTGTCGCTCCTCCAGCTTGTGGCTGACCAAGACACTGCAGTAGACATAGACATGTCGCAGCTCTCTCAAGTGGCGCCTAGCCAAGATGCCGCAGTTGGACCAGCTGAATGCGATGAGCGCTTGGGTTTCCAGTACCGGCCCACCTCTCATATGATGAGTCGCATCCCAGATCCGCTGTTGCAGCTGCTGCCGCGCTTGGAAGCCTGTGGTTCCGAACCTGAACTTGGAGAGCTGCTAGAGCCAAAGCTGTTCATACATTGTGAGAATGGAGAGAAGCTGTATAGCTCAACCTTTGTCGTCTTGGAGAATGCCGTAGCCGCACAGAAGGACGTCTTGGACGTTGGAGATGATCCCACCTTTGACATCGGCCTCTTAGCCCCGACGCCAATCATCGTAGCCTTGCAGACCATCTGTGGAGCTCAAGGGTGGTGTCTGGAAGCAACTCTACAAGGCCATGTTTTTTTTTTCTCTCCCAGCCCTGTAGCAGCCTCGCCTAACCTAGCTTCTCATTTTGTTTCGTCACATGACCCCCACTGCAGGTCTTTTTTGTGTCACGGGCTGGCTTGAGCACGTGGACACCCGCTTGAAAGTCAGCCATGACGAGGAGCACATGCGGACTCCAACTTTGGCAGCTTTCCACGGCTCCCGGGCAAGCAACCGCAAGAGTTCCATGCAGGCATGGCTTCTACAGGAGCTATTGGCAGACGGAAATCTTCCTGATGGAGTCAGGCAATCCGGCTGCATTTGCACAGATGGCACAGTCAGAGGACACAGAAACAATTTATGGAATTTCCGGAGGAGCGGCCTCTCTTCCACAGAAATTTCAGAATGCTACTAAACAAGTCTGACAGACCCAGGCATTCCCCAATCGAAGCTGGCCAGCAAGAGCTTGGTGAACAAGTTTGTGCACAGCGAAAGGGATGCTTCCATTTCAGGGGCCATGAGAGATGAGAGCACTCGCTACTTGTTCTTTCACTGGGTCATTGGACATACAGCTCCAACATGCGAAGTACTCTCCATCCGGAAAGGTGCCGAGATGGGATTCCCCAAGCGCTTTCATTGCGTCTTCAGAGGGTCCAAGCCAGCCTGGCCGAACATGCCAACAAGGGAGATGTTGAAGGCGGTGGCGTTGTCGTGACTTGCGGCAAGTATGCGGCTGGCTGGCTCAGGCAGGGCAAAGGGCCTTTTTTGGGGGAATGTCCTTGTAATGATGTTTCATTCTTCAGGTGCCATGTCCCTTGCCAGGCAGATTTTGCTTTGCATTGAAGACTTTCAGGAGCAGAACCCAACCCTGTCGTCCGCGTGGACCCAAAAGTTAGACTACGCCGACAGTGATCTCCTGCGCATTGGGAACATCGTGAGGAGGCTGCGGCAGTTCCTCCGTGTTCGTGCAGGGCAACCTTTTGAAGAAGTGCCAATCACCATCCGAGACCTTCAGTACGCTGTGCACACAGTTGGTGTCGACAAATTGAGTTCTACTCTGCCTTGATCCGTGCTGATGAATGTGGACATGAGGAGCGCAGCTCAGCGGGTGGAAACCCGAAAGATGTGCAAACCTTGGTGATGAAGATGTTGCTTCAGGCAACGCCAAGCACCGCAGAGGAGCAGAATACACACACAGTCCGGAGCAGGCTCCGTGGCAGATTGGCCACCATATGTGAAAAAGGGACCAAGGATGAAAGGAAGAAGAAATCAAACGGTCCAGCCAACACCGTGATAGAAGCTGTGGATGCGGAGCCTAGCCTCCAGTGCTGTGTTGGAATGCAGGGAGGAAAAGAAGTCAGGACACACAGTGATCCACTTCAAGAAGAGAAAGTGGGCCGAGATCACCGACAGCTCCTCTGCCATGGAAATGTGCCGGTCGCTGCGCATCAGCAGCGAGCACTTCCCCCAGTGCTAGAGATGCAGACTGCTGTCGCGATCGGTGAAAACACCATGCGCACCATACCTGACTCTACGTTCGCTTTCCGAACGCGTGCACGGAAACGATCCAAAAAGGAGATTGCGCATGGGATGGGCACATGGGCATGCTGCGGACAAATCACACACGAGTCATGCCAAAAAGTGTGTCGCTTGCACCAACGAACGCGCGCTTCATTTCATGACTGACATTTCACTACTCTAGCGGCTAGCGCAAATGACGCCTGTGAGTTCAACAGTTGCACTTGACAGCACCTCGTCCCGAACATTTGAAAGTTCTTACTTCGAATGTTGCAGCTTTGGTTCCAGTGGCCGCCTGTCAAGCACAAGGCATATTTCACAGCACGAACCATACTCGGCAAGGCGCTTTAACACATGTTTGCCCAGCAGGCAAAAAAAACGAAGTGCTAGAACCTGAGGCGCCTAGGCGGCAGAGGTGGTTTTTTCTTGTCATTCACTCTTTCTTCCAGTGGCCACTTGCTTTGCAATGACCTTGGCCATCAAGCGTGCTTTTGCTCAGCAGATCTATGCCGGCGAGAAGTTGTTCGAAGCCCAGCCTGAATCCAAGCAGATACAGAACTTGGGCTCAACCGTGACGTTTCATTGGTATACCCAAGAAAGACTGATGTGTCAAATTCGCCAGAAGCTACGGTTCAGCTCAGCTCGAGAGATGCTCCAGACTCTGCAACCTGAGACGTGCCTGCCTGGCAAAACCTATGATGAAGCAGTGGTCACTGATTGGAGACAAATACGTGTTCTGTTTGCGTTTAAATATTTTCGACAAGTTTATGCAAGATTCCTTTTTTCTTCGAAACCAGCTTCCTAATAAAGTGACCATCCGAAATTATTTAATGGCTTTGCTACAGCATCAGCACAAGGCTGTCTATGAGAGCTTGGGTGAAGCATATGCCAACAAGCCCATGGTCGCCTTGGAGCTTGTACCCATTGAGTGGATGACCGGAGTCCTACCCACGACTAAGAAGACAAAGAGTAAAGCCGCCATGGTGCAGAAGACAAAGAAAAGAAAGAAGATGGAAGCAGTGCCTCTCATCACGCGGCCCGGCATGAGCAATCCACACGAACGACGAGAGGCGGAGCACAGGCCAGAGGAAGGAGAGCAAACGGATGCGCAGACTTTGGTGATGAAGATGCTGCTTGAGGCAACGCCGAGCACCTCAGAGGAGCAGAGTACACACACTGTCCGCAGCAAGCTTCGTAGCAGATTGGCCAACATATGTGAAAAGGGTACCAAAATGACAGGAAGAAGAAATCAAACGGTCCAGCCAACAACGTGATAGAAGCTGTGCGGAGCCTAGCCTCCAGTGCCGTGTTGGAAAGCAGAGAAGAAAAGAAGTCAGGACACACAGTGATCCACTTCAAGAAAAGAAAGTGGGCCGAGATTAGCGACAGCTCCTCTGCCATGGCAATGTGCCAGTCCCTGCACATCAGCAGCGAGCACTTTCCGCAGTGCTAGAGATGACTGATGACAACAGCATATAGTGGTCCAGCAACCTGAATCTCAGGCATGCTGTTGCTAATTATAGGTAGAAACATTGTATATAGATGAATCCGTGTTCGACGTCCGAACACGTGCCGGGAAGAAATCCAAAAAAGTACATTGCATATGGAACAGAAAAATGGCATGTCTAAGGTTTGTCTCTCCCGTAGACCCCACCAATAACGTCGAGAACAACAAGATACCAGGTGTACAGTGCTTACTTCTGTAGGGATGCTAAGGCTCATGGAGAGATGGCCGTAATGATGGCACCAATGCGCTATAGGGTCATGAACGTGTCAGTTTCAGCTGAGAAACGTGAAGACAGTGAAGAGAAGACATGCGCGGTTCCGTCATCCGCAGTGGACATGTAGAGAGAAAAAAGTCAAGTCATGACAAGTCCTTGCTGCCTTGAAGCTACGCCGATGTTTGGTCACATCTGCAATAGAACAAAAGAATAGAAGGTGCCAACGCCTTCTTTGCGAGCCAGCTGTGTTCTCTCATTACCATCTTGTGACACTCACTTTGTCCGTCCCAACATGTCTCGCTGCCAGGTTTGACGCCGAGAATGCCACCGGGAATCCTTTCTCAACCTCGCGACCAAGGCTCGCAGTATTTTTTGTTCTCATGTGAACACATTCCACATAGCCTCTGAGCCATGTAGTCAGTAATGACTTTAGCATAATTAGAAACATGTCGCAATGATCAAACATTTTTCGAAGCCAATGTACATCGACCTGCAGCCTATTGAATGGTTTGCGGCTAGCGGCTGTCGCTGTATATCGGCTCTTTTCAGCAAAGCGGTAGAGAGAGACCTTCGAACTAATGAATGAGAAATTCAAAGATTTCAATATACAAACACGACATATACAGCAATCTAGAACCTGCCAACTGCCGCCGCTAAATCCAAGTGACAAAGTTTAAATCGGAGCGCCCCGGGGGCCTCCAACTACCTACCCTTCCATTTGCTACAAGTCGCAGAGTACTCGGCACGGCCGCCATGTTGCCCCCGGCCGAAAAGCAAGACACTTTGCTTCTATCTGATTCCTCCATTGAACTCTTAAAGACGTGTCCGAAGGTTCTCAAAGGAAGTGGAACGGCAAAGCGCGGAGACATCTGGATTTCCCAGATCGGAACTGGCAAAATTGTAGCAACTGCTTCTCTCGTGGGTGTGCGGCGCTGGGAGTCAGTACCTGATTCTCTGCACACAGCGTTGCAGGAGCGGCTGCAAGAAGTAGGCTACACTTCTCCGCACGTGTGGGACATGGAAGGCGTGACTCTTCTCCCAGAACCTTGGCATATACCGCCGGATGTGCGCAGAGGCTGCCAACATTGGATCTCCAAGGAGCGCTGAAACACACATGCCCAATCCAACAGGAAGCGTACTTTGCCCTCTGGAAGAGCCTGGCCCAAAAAGTTTCCCAGGAAATCCAAAATCCAAATTGAAGGTTCTTGCTTGCAACAAAGGAACGAGTTGTGGATGAAGCACACTAGACCCCGAAAGGGGCAGAGGACCAAAAAAGGAATCGCAATGCGCCAGCCACCCACGCCATGGCAGACGATATCCTGAACCGAGGCCAGATGTTTTCCAGTGCTGTGCAGCGGCTGCAAGCTGGCAGAACAGCAGAACGATTACATCATCTGGCCGCCATGTCTCTCTTTCATGAGCGACAGCGATTTGGCGCAAATCCATTGCCGCGACCGGGCCGCTGCGCCAAATGGAAAGGCGGTCTAGTTTATATCGTTGCTTGCTTTGCGAGACGAGGTCTGCCACTAGCTGATATTCTCCCTCTGGAGCCTGCAGCGATAGAAGGCTGCTGGACTGCCACTCGCACGCAAGTGCGCACTTGTCCGCAGAAAGAGTTGAGCGATGTCGGTTGCAAAGCCGTGCAGCTGCAACGCAAAAACCTCAAAAAAGGACGGCTACATTTTCAAGAAAAAAACATGGCAAAGAGCAGCCCATGCCTTTGGGATCCTCATGCCCATCTGCTGTTGAGCACATGCATGGAAGACACCACGCCCGACGCTTCACCGGCATGGCCCGTGACGATCGTCAAAATTCAGCCGCAAACAGCCCAGCTCCACACCGCCTCGGCCATCGATGGGCATTGGCATCGCGTGGTTGCACCTTGTCATAACTTACACAGGTCATGTTTACTTTCTCTGCTGCGCGCATATCTATCTATCTATCTATCTATCTATCTATATCAGATAGATAGCTTGATAGATAGATAGATAGATAGATAGATAAATAGATAGATAGAGACTTGTAGTGGCACATACATTCGATGCGAGGGAACATTGGATTTCAATGTTCCAACTCGATCTGGCTCTGTTAACAGCGTCCTCATTGACAAAGCTTGTCATGCCATCTTCCCCCAACTTAGGTGCGTGGAGAGAAGCGATGTCGGTACAAGTGTGTCCTGGATCTGCCATTGCCGCGTCTGCTGGATACCAGACCCTGGCGCTGCTTAGACTGCGGTCTCACTTTTGCGGTGACCCCAGCTGATGTACTGGTACTGGCTGCCTTTCCAAAGGCTTTGCACCACAATGCTGCAAAGCAGAAACCTTTATGGTTCTCTGGAAGCTTCCTGGTGCATCTAGCGCAGAAGTTTTCGGAAGTGCTCAATGCTGGTGCGGTCAAGAGATTCGTTCTGGACATGTATGCCGCTAATTGCTTAACTTGCCGATGTTAAATGTAGACCGATAGACCGTTTTTGGTTTTAGGCCACCTGCACCTTCGGAAAACGTGTGTTCTCCGATCCTGAAGTTATCTAACTTTGGATCCCACGGCCAGAGCAGCAGCCATTCCCATGTATCTGCCAACCCATGATTGCAAAACACATTTGGCTCAAGAACACTTTGGCTCAAAATGGCTCAAGACTTTGACTGCCCAGCTTTCCCAAAAAAAAGGGGAGGAAGGGATGTAATGTAGTTGGCTCAAGACCAGTGTGGGCAAAGTTACCCACACTGGGGCTGGGAGAAAAAATGGGTAAGATGGGATTGGTAACTAGATGGCTCAAAACCAATTTCGGCAAAATTTCCAAATTGGTGCGGTAGGGCAAGGAAAAAGTAGGAAGGGAATTGGGAAGGGATGGTTGGGACTGGGCTGGATGCGACCAGGGGTAACATGATAACATAATGTAATGTAACCTTGGGGTAATGCAACCTTAGAATTTTCAACATGGCATGGCATGAAACCATCAAACCATAAACCATGTCAAACAAAACATTTCAAACATTTTTGGCATGGAACAGGGGAGGTGGTCTGACCCCTCTCAGTGACTGGATCGTTTTATTTTCGATTGTTTTTTTGTTGCCACAAGTGGCAGCGCTGTGGAACCAAGCTGCAGAATTCTCTGCGGCATGGCCAGCAGGGGAGGTGACCCCTCTCGCTGACTAGAATGTTTTCAACAAATCAAACAATCAAACCATGTAAAACACATGATTTTTCAAACTTTTGGCATGGATTGGGCAACGGGGGAAGTGTCTCACCCCGTTCACTGACTGGATCATTTTTTTGTGGATTGTTTTTTTATTTTGTTGCCACCAGTGGCAGCGCTGTGGAACCAAACTGTAGAATTTGTTTGGCATGGCCAGCAGGGAGGTGGTCTGACCCCTTTCACTGACTGGATTGATTTATTTTTTCAACAGGCTAAACCATCAAACCATGTTTATTTTTTATTTTTTGAAGAGGAGGTGGTTTGACCTCACTACCTGGAATGCTGGAGTTTTTTTGACAGGTTCCGGCATGCTGAGCGATCAAAGCAATGAAACCAGGGAGAGCTGCCAATTTCCCCATTTTTTTGTTTGGCAGCCAGCCTGGAAGGAAGACAAATTCAAACAAACCAATGGAAGGTGGTCTGACAGTCAGAAGTGTAACTGGGAAGGGGGGCAGGGCGATCCAAAAAATCACCAACTGGGTCTGTTTTTCATTCAGAGGTGATTTGATGATTTTTCATATGCAGCATTTCCTCCAACTGTTTTGGTTGGGTTGTGTGTGTGTGCTATATTATTTTTTGGGGGCCAATTCTATCTTAGATGGTATTGTTTAAGATGAAGGTGGTCTGACCCCTTTAACCACTGCTTCACCAAAAGGAAATACCTCTTCTGAATGGATCTTTTGATGGATCTACCCTAGATGGGGACACCCTCAATGTTTTACTGGTACCAACCACGTCATTGGGCAAGGTAACCACAGAGAATGTCTGAGGTCTGTAAACACCATTGATTTTTGATCAAGAGTCGTATGCCCCAGGATAACCTGATGAAGTGTTTCTTAACTAACCTCCATTCTTCTTGATGCCTCTGTTCCCACCGCCGCCACAATGTTTAGATCACTACCCTTCCCCGGTTTCACCCTGCAGGACATGTGCACCTGTGGGCACCAGCAGAATATGACAGTTGGTGTATCCTGCTGGTGCCCACAGGTGTCCATATTCTACAGTTGGCGCTCCAGTTTCTGATGAAACTCAGCTTACAATCAGACTGTTGACGACTGTTGCGTTGAAGGATGGTGGGTTTGCAAATCCCACGTGGTTGACACAGGGGAATCGATAATAATGCATCTTGATGGTTTCCAACATCACCTACGCCGGAATTTCGCTTGTCGTCTGGGTGCAGTGGCTTCTGCCAGATTCTGCCAGGACCCACTGCACTGATACGAATGTGGCATTGGCGCCTTGGTCTGGACTGGTGTTCAAATTCTAGCAGTGTGCAACTGCTGAGCGATACGGAATCTTTCTTGTCCCTCACACAGTTGCACGCTGCTGGAATTTGGATCTCAAATTTGGATATCAA